TTTTAGCCGCACGATCCAATACAGTTTTCTATTCACTACGGCTGATGTACCAGACCACAGTTAACAATTAAAATTTCATTTCGTAAAAAATTATTTCTATATATTTTTTTTAGGGTACTGTATTTATTAATTAAGACAAACGTTTATAGTTCTACGTTTTATTTTTTTTAACATGCCTTTTTTAAGAAAAAAAAAAAATTTATTACTAAATTTAATTATATTGGAAGATAAGAAGATGAACGAAGAAGAAGAAGATTCTTCGGGGAGAACGGACATTGACATTTAAAGGGTGACATATCAAAATAAAATTTAAACTAAACTTAAATATTCATCTGATCACGTTTATGACGTCTTCTAGGAGTAAGTCATCTTGTTCAGCTACCACCAGACGTAATTGTTGTATACCATCACAACTATCAAAAGAATTAATTTCATTGAATGCTATGCAAACCAGTACAGGCAAAATTCGAATCGCGCGGTGCGGGAGTGAGTCACCAGAAACGTATAGGAATACAAAATTTTTTTTCAGCATTTTTAAATGCACTGTAAAAAAACCTTAGTAAAATCAACAAATCTATTATTTATATAAAGCCGACAATCATTTTTTGTTGGCCTAACAAAAATTTTTGTTAGTACAATAAAATATTGATCCAGCTAACAGATATTTTGTTCCAGTGACGAAAATATGATTGATTTAACATTAAAAAATTTGTCGACCGAATTTTTTTTCAGTGTAGCCGTTTTTTAGAACTTTTTTTAAAATTTCATTGGGTTGATAAAATTTTTTAAGAAAATGACTTATTGAGTTATAAGCATGCGTTATAATTTGATATTCTCGTTCAAATCCTTATTGAACTCAAGTATTCCATTTGATTTTCATGAATAGCCTATCTAAATATAGCACGTTGTCTCGTTGAATATATGTTACAATTTTTAGTTAATAATTTACAAATCTGACTTTATGATAAAAAAATAGTTGCAATTTTTAAATTTTGAAAAAATCCTGATTTTTACTATTTTCAACGGCTTCCTAATTTTGAGATAATTTGTTAATTTCTAGTTTTAATAGAATTTCTTCCATTTTTTGTTACTGATTAACTAGATTAATATCAGATTCAAGGTGTATAGATAATTTTTTTTTTTTAATATTACCAACAAATAATAAAAATATTATTTATCGTAGTCTATGAGTGCATTAATTTAAAAATAAAAACCTTATTATTTAATACATCAAAAGTTTATAGATTTGTAAAACGTCGTTGACCAAACTATACATTTATGCATAATATACATTTTGTATAATTTGGAGTGGACAACCGGAAAATCCCAATTATGAAGATAGGAAATTTTAGTTTTTGACTTCGCGATATTTTGGTCCTACTGAATATCACCTTACTACTCTTGACATTGATTAAATAACCTGTATGTGTAATAAACATTTAAAAAATTCATTTACAATAGAATCACATTTTATAAATTATTATAGTAAAATATGTAATATTAAAATTAATAATAATATAGCATGGTTGTTTCTTTTAAAAGAAATTGTTTTGTCTAATTATTTATTATATTATACCAATATAGACCAAATATATATATATATATAAATGTATAAATAACAAAATTACAACTATTTTTGAAAGAGTATGACTAGCATTACAAAATTACTTTTATATTAAAGTTTTAAAATTATCGAAAAAAACTTTAGGAGTTAATTGTTTTTAACACATGTCTATATTTGTCTAGATCATTACATGTCGATGAGTAAAGCCACGTCAAGTAAGTTGAATGTATCTTAAAAGGCAAATAATAATAAAAAACTTTGTATTATTACACAATTTAATTGGATATAAAAAAACAGTCATAATTTAAAAATTAAATTTTCTACAGAATTATGATTCAAACAATTATTCAAACTATGTAATATCCACTATAACCACCTTATATTTCTCTCGTAGTGTTTATATTATTTCGGATTAGTCTAAGTTTTGCAAGTACCTAAATTTATTTTATAGGCTTTTATTTTATATCCGGTCAAAATTGACTAACAAGGTAATATAGTTCACTAAAAACAAACCACACAGTGACCTAAATCTACTTGGAGATAAATCGGATATGTATATAAAAAAAAAAATTTTAGACACAATTAACTTGTTGAATGGAAAGATGTCAAAATAATATTTAATTACTGTTTAAACAAAAGTATTAGAACAATTTAAATTGAGTAAAGAACAATTCAGTAAAAGTAAAATAGACTACTACTAAAATATGACATAGCGTGAGATTATAATATAAGACGATTGAACGACGATGACAATACAACCAACAGTGACGTGTGAAACGTTTCTACTCTTTTGTTTTATATTACTTAACTGAATTTTATCAATAATACGAAATCACAACACAAATTTGTTCAAATAATCAACTTATTGTGTTTTATTTTAGAAAGGACGAACATATCTATTCTAAACAACTACCTATCATATCAGTCTTATTTTAAGAACTACTTAAATTTGATAAAGAGGGAAGTATAACTCTTTAGATCACGGTTGGTAACGCGTTGTTAAGAGCACCGTTGCAAAGAGTTAAGGGGACTTTTTAGGAATAGTCAGTAATCTTGATCACGATTGATAATACGAAGGTTATGATCACCTTTGTAGATTAAACTAACTTTTTAAAAGGAATTTTAATATATTAAATTTTGATTACGGTGGATAACGCGTTGTTATGAGCACCGTTGAAAACTTAATATACTAATAACATAAGATTTTAGAAATGAAATAATGAATATTGCGATCACTAGATTATTATAATTGATTTAACAGGGAGAAAGAAAGTAAATGATACTTGAATAGGCAGTGAGAGTGTACCTTATACTACCCGCCACCACTTGGTTAGTATAGATTAATTGTTTACTGATCATTTTTTTTTTAATATTTTGTAATTGAATAAGCGGCAATAAAGCTGTAGCGTAACGTTACACGTGAAAAAAAATTCACATAACAGCCTATTTTATAATACTACATCAAAATTAGCTATATAGAGTGGAACAGATCTAACTGACAATTCAAAGAACTTATGATCTACATAAAATTTTATACTTTTTTTTTTAATCAATATAGAACTCTATTTAAAATATGTTTTATGTTATTTTTCGCAATTACAAAAAATATTTTAAAAATTAATTTTTTTATTAAAAGATATTTTTTATAGATAAATTATAGTGAAAAATTTTGATACCAAAAACTCTTATTTTAATTCAGTAGTAACGTTTACACAGTATTTTGAAGTTTGTTAAATTTTGATTTTTTTTTACAATTTTTCTTTATTAATTTAAAATTTTAACATTTTACTAATGTTAGTCCATATTTTGTAAAGTACAGGAGTAAATACTTATTAACGTTATTTACTAGTAACAGTACGCGATTTCTTTTCGATGGATAATAATAACGTTTAACACGCTTTTTACAAAAATGATTATCTCTAATCTTTATTACAAAAGTTAGAAACATTATCGTATGTCAACTACGAGTGTTCCATGATTAGCCAAGTCAAAAGTGATAAGAATTATTAATTTTAATTTAACACTTCAGGTCATTACACCTGTAACCATCTGGAGATAAACCATATTTTTATCCCGTATGTAAAAATTTTGTGTACAAGCGTATATTTAATAATATGCTTCACAATAGATAATGCACATTCCTGCAGACAAAAATGAAAAATGTGTTTAATTTCTGAGTTAGATACATAGTTTTTACAATTATATACACATTTAAAGTAGGATGTCCACGCTAGCATGAAAGCATAGCTTAAGCTTTTATTATTACACAATTAAATTGCCCAAGAGCTATTTTTTTAACATCACCTTCAGGTATTTTTTAAAAATACGAGTACAACATAATTAAATGTATACAGTTATAATGAATTTTTTTTCTTCGAAACACTTTTTATATTTTCAATTATGTTATACCACTTGAAGCTTCCTTTTCATAAGATACCATTGAAATCACATGTCATGTTGATTTTAGTGGCTCTTATAATACAAATATTTAAAATTCGAAATTTTACCTTCTGAAAATGTTGTACTACATATAAAAATAAGCTGATTACATTTGACATGTGTATGAAAAGATTAACACGTGCCTCTAGACCAGGGGTCATCAACTAATTTCATTGGAGTTTTGAAACTTACCAAACTGGCTGCGGTCCTTAACAGTTTTAATGACTTTTACATACGTTAATAAATACATTTTTCTTTTTAATTAGTATTCATTTATTAATTTATTCATACGTTTACCAAATAACAATAACAAAAAAAATAAAATAAAATGATCAAAACAAGAAAATATTAAATATGATTTAATAAGAAAAATTACATTTTTTATTTTTAACGAGCTTTTTAATGTTTGGTGTGAAGTTTGTACAACTGATCTGCATTAACTCGTTAAGATGATCATTCATTAAACGAGATCTGAAATTGTTTTTGATAAAGTTCATTTTCGAAAAAGCTGCTTCACAAGCATATGTCGAACCAAACATAAAACATAATTTTGAAGCCAAACTTTTTAACTCTGGATATTTATTTGAACATACGTGTTTCATCCAGAATTGATCGCACTGTAAATTGTTCGGGACTTGGATAAATTTTTCTTTTAATCCCAAGTCTTCCTGGAAATCTATTATTTCTATTTGCAGGGCAGCTTTATTAGAGCCAAAAACGCTTGTGGCTTCAGTACTCCTATCGTCGTTGGGATGTAAAGAAAAACAATTGTTCAAAATTTGTACTACATTCTCAATTTTTTTGAAATCAGTAAATCTAACTTCAAATTCAGATTTAAGCTTCTTTAAAAATTTAATGAACTGACTGACGTCAATACTTTCATTATCATCAAAAACGGTCTGTAAGTTAGGAAAGTGCAAACGTTCGTTTCCAACATCATCACAAAAGAGATCTATTTTCCTTGAAAAACAATTGATTTCCGATAGTAGATGGCACACTAATTTCCCTTTACCTTGTAATTTGAAATTAAATCGTTGATATGTTTGAATATATCAGTTAAGAAAGCAGTAGATACGATATGTTCTTTTTCATCAAGGTAATCTACATAGCCTTTTGCGCATAATTGATCTCTACTGGAAAGAAATAACTTAACTTCATCTAATATTGTAAAAAATCGTTGAAGTACAAAACCTTTTCTCAACCATCTTACATTGTTGTAGAGTTGTAAATCACCATACTCAGATTTAAATTCATCGAGAAATGATTTGAACTGATGGTGCTTCAGCGATGATTTAGCTCGAATAAAGTTTAATATTTTGATCACTTCTTCCATTGTAGCATCGAGATTTAAATTTAATTTGCAACATAACACACTTTGATGGATAATGCAGTGATAAAATATCATTTTATTGCATTCTGTGCTATTCATTAGTCTCTGAACAGAACCTTTTTTTACTTCCAATCATTGATGGTGCACCATTTGTTGTAACTGAAATAAGTTTTTTCATATCTAATCTATATTTTTTGAAATATTCTATTTCAGCTTTGTATATTTCTTCACCACATGTGGTTCCTAACAGTGGTAAAATAGTTAATATTTCTTCAACAAACTGTTTACTGGTAATATCAAAATACCGTATAAAAATACACAACTGAGCTTTATCTTTATTGTCACACGATTCGTCCATAGCTAGAGCATAACAGTCCGTAGTCGATAAATCGTGTATTAAATTAAAATGATTTTCCTTTGCTAATATTTTGTGTTTCGTGTGTTAGAAGACGTAGATAACGGAATATTTTGAATAGTCTCAATAATATTTTTATTATCAAAAAACGCATTTCCCGCTTCAACCATACATTTTTTGACTATATCTGCATCAGTAAACGGTTTCATATGTTTGGCAAGAACCCATGAAATATGCATAGAAGTCTCTGTACATTTTTCATGTTCACTCATTGCCTTGTTAATAATTTGAGTCGATATTGAATAAGATAAACATAAATTCTCAATTTTAGATTTACGTAAATTACTTCCTACCTGATATTTTTCACTAAATAATTTGTATTTGGTCTCAAAATGTCTTTTCATATTAGAATTTTTAATGATAGCTACTGTTTGTTGACAAATCAAACAAACAGGTAGAACTCCGACTCGGTCTGGTAATGTAAAGCAATATAAATCAGTCCATTCTGGAAGAAACTGTCTATTTTCAGCTTCTACTTTTCTCTTTTTTAACACGCTTATATTAGTTTCACTTGTATGTGGGATGTTTGTAACTTTCCACGCGGCACGTGTCTACGGCCTTGAGACTAGACGGTCATAACGCATTCACCCCACCCTGCTCACCACTCGTAGACAACAATATTTTCCATCCCGTAGACGCGCGCGTGTCATCAATTATATATATATATGTATAACAAATTTTTATTGTGATTGACACGGCCCCGCGTCGTTTCGTTATACACGATGCCCCACGACTCGTGCCACCTTTATCAGCCGTCGTCCTATTTTATGAGTATTTAACTGACCAACACCGCGCGTTATACGCCGCGGTGCAAAGTCCAGCAAGTTCCGCACGGCCGCACGTAATCTTCTTCCCGTTGTCAAAGTGACAACGTCAACAAACCGATCCGCACTCGCGCACCGTCTTCATCTACGCTGCTAACCTTTTGACGCCCGAGGATCACGCCGGACATCACGTCGTCGACTCTAGCGAAAGTGCCGCGATATTATGTGAAGATTATATATTCTTACCGCCGCTGCTAATATTAATATATATATATTAATATTTATATATACGTATATGTNATATATATATTCTAATTACTATTAAAACTTATATATTAATACACTTTATTCTCATTAAGTGATATGTAGTGTATTCATTCCGATTACGGGGAATGATTCCCGTATCGTCATTTTTCATCACTACCTCATCACTACGTTGTGCGCCTGCTGCTTTCCTTGGATGTGGTAACCGTTTCTCAGACTCCCTCTCCGAAATCGAACCCTGATTCCCCTTTACCCGTTATAACCATGATATTGATATTAACTACTACCATAACATGAAACTAAAAAGTGAAAAATAAATATAGTTTAAAAAAACTAAAAAACACGCTTTTAAAGCACATCGAACTAAAAAGTTAAAAATAATTTTTAAAATAAGCTTAAAACAATAATGAACGAAAAGTACTAGTATTATTGTGAAAAAAAGCGTGGGTGCTTTATGCCATATTTTTTGTATATTGAGCACCTGACGCTTTTTTCACAATAATACTAGTATTTTTCGTTCATTATTGTTTCAAGTTAATTTTAAAAATTATTTTGAACATTTTAGTTCAATGTGCTTTAAAAGCGTGATTTTTAGTTTTTTTAAACTATATTTATTTTGTTGTCCATACTCACTTCGTACTAGAAAAACGAACAATAACTAAAAATATTAGGTACCTAGGTGTACAAAATACGAACGGAAAGTCAACAGACACTGCGCAGTAAACAATTTTTATTTTGTCTAATATATATACTTGAAAATTATCGGTCACGACTCGTCCGGCGTTTAACAGCACACACCATACTTTCTACACATGAAGACGTTCGGCGGTACGTTCTTATCTTAATATTTACTATCGGATTTAAAATTAACAACCCAACATTGGCTTCCCCCTTTATGATTATAGAAATAAAGATTATTTCCCCTAAAAAAACTTAAAAACTACTACACGGATAAGGGTCCATAAAAAAAATGTTCGCGGTCCGCCAGTTAGTGACCCCTGCTCTAGACCATTAAAAATCAGTAATCTCGTTATTTAAAAAATAAAAAGCTGAACATTTTCTCTTTAATTTTTGTTATGTCTGACTTTAAAATAAGGCTGTTCAACCTACAAATATAAAGAGTTACACGAATTCCAAAAATTAATTTTTGCATAGTTTCAATAATCAAAGATCATTAAAATTGCCTTTTGCCTAAAATTGCCTAAAACAGGCACAAAAAAATAAATAAATAAATAAACACATCTTAGTAAAACCAATACCTTCTCAGCTTCGCATCGAAGCTAAAATATTTTTACGAAAAATTTTTTTAAAACTGAATCTAATCTGATTATATTAAAAAAATAGGGTTACCATTTAAAAATTGAAAGTTGATACTGATTTAAAGCATAAGGGATGATCATGAAAATGTAATTTTATTCATTATCAGCCCAAGATAGAAATATAATATTTCATAAAGAAAAAAAAAGGAAAACTCTTATATTTTCAGAGATAATTTGTGAGGCATAGTTAATCAATCACCCTGTATACAGCATTAATGAAGGGAGTACAAAAGAGAGGTTTTATTTGATACTTGTTGATTGATTAAATTCTTGAGGAGACACGGTAACAAGTTTAACAATCCACTGCAGAACACAACTGATTGCTCAGCCCACCAAGTCTCAAAGTTTTTGTTAAAAAAAAAAAAACGAATAACAAAATATAAACAATTGATCAACTCAACATTTTATTTTTAAGAAAAAAACGGAGGACAAAAAAACTAAAACAAAACGTGGTTTTCACCATAGAAAAAATGTACACACAAATCAACTTGTCGCCCCGGTAGTCTAGCTGAGAAGAAAAAATATATATATTTGCAGTTAAGGAGCAGTATAGTAGTGATGCCACCGGATGGTGGTAATGCCAACTTTGAACGAGTTCACTGGGGTAAATTACAATATAGTATAGGTGCACAATATACAGTCAGATAATGAAAATAGACCGGGTGATAGGTATCGGTCCGGTTGACTGGTGAAGGTTATCACGTATACAACTACTAAGAAATATTTGACAACTAATGCACACACCACTAACTGATAAGGTTTATTAAAATAAGTAGTACAAATTCTGCAACATTACAATAGATAAAAAAACACACGGTAAAATACATTTTTTTTCAACTTTGCATCGAAGCTAAAATAAAATATTAGATTTATACCCATTAATTTTACCATGTAAATTTAAAATAACATTAATTTATAAAAATGTTTATAGGTAATTGTAATAATTGTAAAAGACCAAATATAGCAATTGAAAAATTAGAAAATTGTGATCATGAAGTTTGTGCATATTGTATTTATAACATTAACAATTGGGGCCATCATTGTATTCGTTGTTGGGCTGAAAAAATTAATAGTAAGTATACATATTAAAGAAAATTTTCAAATTACGTCATGTTAGTTGAATGTTTTATACATATACATAAAAATTAAATAATAATAGAAGCTTTGTTTATTAACCCAGAGAGTTCTTTACTAATCTTTTGGTGCTTTGGTTATCCGAATACATAATAGGTATAGTTCCCTATGTTTCTAGGAGGTCACTTATTAGTAACGACAACCATTTAAGTTGGACTCTGTTTCTATGGATGTTACACAATACGGTATTATATGGTAATAGGCCGCGCCATGCCGGGTCCGCGGGATTGTCGACTGTGTTGATATAAAACCATTTACACTCCGGTATTAATTGCTGTATTTTAGCAATTCTGTTCGTTACAAATACTTTAAAAGATTTTTGGCTAACGGTGAACCATGATAATACGACGGTGGAGTCGGTCCACTCATAGATCTTTGAAATATTAATGTCTAAACAGTGTTTTACGCGGTTTAACGTTGTAGTGAGTACTAAAGCAGCACATAATTTAAGGCGTGGCACTATAATTTGACATTTATGGTTTTTTATTGGCGCTACCTTGGTCTTACATGTGACAAAATTTATCGTAGAATGACTGGAGATGTCTATTACCCGTAAATAAACAATGGCCGCGTAACCACGTAATGAGGCGTCGGAGAATCTTACTAATTCTATTTTTGAATATACACGTATGTCAATATGTCGAGGTAACATTATTTTATCGATGGATGGCAATTCTGTTACAAATTAATTCCATAACTTGTCTAAATTCTCTGGTAGTCCCATTTAAGACCTGATTGCCATAATCTTTGCATAAATGATTTTGCCTATAAGTGTAGGTCCGAGAATACCTATAGGATCGAAAAGTCTGGTAATTGTAGAAAGTACCTTGTGTTTCATATAAGGATGATCGGGTTAAATAATACATACATAACACTTTCACAGACATATTATTTTTCGCAGACATTATTCTTTGGGTCTAAAGATAATAGTGCTGAACCTTCAGCACAATTTACTTCCCGAAGTACTTAAGGCGAATTACTTTTCCACTTTTTTAGAGAGCAGCTGCACGTCTTTAATAGTCCAATCAAATCGCTCTGAATTCTAAATAATTCATCAACAGTGTCAGCGCCTGTGCAATGCCGGCTATATTTTCTTTAGTATCGGCAATTTGCGATTTTGTAACCCTTTTGTTTGTTTAATAAATACGATTGACCATACGTATTTTTGGGCATGCCTTAGCGGAAGGAAAGGAAAATATAAAATTGTGGAAATTGAGCCTTACAATATACTATAGATAGAAAGAAAAACAACATATATATATAATCACAATCTGATATTTCCGTTATGATAGAAAAATAATAATAAACAACAGGAACCAATCATAAAATGACAGGGACCGGTCTAAACAGCAGCGCCGCCGTACCGTTACGAAGGTGGTGGTTTTTTAGTGGGAAAAAACACATTGAAGATAGCGGCGTATATTAAAAAGAAACGCGGAATCTCCGGAATACTAGACGGCTACAGAACAAAAAAAGATAAAAACAAATTGCGTTGTGTCAGCGGCATACCCGTTGTGACAAACACGAACGTGTATGATGTGATCGACTGACCTGCTCTCCCTCACTTACCGTGTTTTCATATTAAATTAAATGTATCGCATCACCTCACATTAATGTGTATCTAACAGCGCCAATCACAATATCGTCGACGTACGTTAGTCAATACACTATTTGCGGCAGAAAAACAAGACCCATTTTGAGCGTCTAGCTCATGTAAGTATTTTATGGCGAGATAAGGAGCTGACTTAATACCATACATAACTGTGCATAACTCCTATTCAATAATCTCGGACTCAACCGAGTCCCACCACAAAATATGCTGATACCAGCGGGCTGTGTCTCTCACTAACAACTGGCCATACATTTTTGTAATATCAGCGGTCAGCATATAATGTCATAAATCCATTTTATAATTTGATATTTATTATGTAACTTTATTAGAAAGCGTATTACACTAATATTTAGAATTACTGTAATTGGTATATTAATTATATCCTTAATTGTTAATGACATTATTCCCAACAAAAAGAGACCTGACTACTGACTTTGTGGTTAGTGTTCTATTGGCGAATCATAGTTATTATTTTGACTCTTCCCGAAGACACTTGTAAACATGGTCAAATTGGAATTAGTAGACCTAGTTTACCACTATAACGCTTAAACCTACTCTTTTGAATAATATCGAATATATTGTTTTGATATTTAGGACCACCTAATAATACGTCATTCAAGTAATATCCGGTTGATGTGGCGGCACTCGCATCAAACATCACACGTAATTTGTCGTTATTTTCGCACCGCGTTTCACTACGTTATGATGCAGTATGTAATAATAACCAACTTCGGTGGCTGATCTCATATGACCAAGATCGTCATACGCAGCCATAAATGCGTGGTACTCGGCATATAGCATTGGATCTTTGATTGAGGGCATTTCTAAGTTATAAAAGCGTTTTAGCGCTAACGCGCGTGAATTACCAAGACCATGATACGGCGGCACCGTATCAGGGGGCTGATTAACACTATTCGAACTACATTCGGGATCGCAAAATGAAAGTGCTACACAAAATCGACCAACTTTTTTTTGCGTGGATGTTTTTGAAAACCATTCTTCACATCGTTTTTATTCAGTTATCCACTCAATTAATGTTGCAACTTTCCTATAGCCCAAAAGAAACGCATTAGATTATCCAATTTTACTAATGTCATTAATAATAAATGTACAGGTAACGTGATTTTTTCGTGCAATGCACCAAACCGAAATGTGTAATTATCGCTAAAAGCAAACCGTTGTGGTGAATAATATTACCTCAAGGTTGTATTACATGCGGGAATAAGTACGAACTCGAGATTCGCTAATAATAAATGTTTATAGGTCTCGTAAACGGCGTACGGTAGTGATTAAGTAGACATTATCATTGTCATTGGCTACTGTAGTATTATGTCATCGTTACAACAAAAAACCGGGTCTGATTGTTGTCACGGTACGAAATAACAACTGGTTTTTCCACTTAATTCGTTTACTGGCTTTTTTCCAAATCTGCGTAAATTCTTGCATCTAGGTAGACCAAGCAGAAATGCATAGCACGTTATTATTGCGGACACCGGTGAAACACTATCTAATAAAACACGATTTGTTTAACAATCACCTCGACTACTACACGCACGATTAATTGCAGTACCTAAAATAACGGTAGTATTTGAGTGCGACAAACCGCAAAATTCTTGAACCTTAACTATGAGGTACTGGGAGTTTCACTATTTAAGCTATTTGAGCTAACTGGCACTGAGTTTTGAGTATTAAGGTGTTACAATGAAGTAAAGTATGATGACGTTTCTAGCATTTTGAGCATGGCAGCTTAGATTTGCGCGATGCATATCACTCAAGCACGATAAACATAGCTTCTCTTTGATAGCGGCTTCACGTCGTTTTTCAATAGTATATGATCGAAAAACATTACAACGATACACTGGACAGTAGTTTGAACAAAATGAGCATTTTTTAAAGTTTTTCGATGATCCTGTAGTTCCGGTTAATACAGTTCTGTGTATACGATTTGTTAATAAAGTTATTTTTGTTTGCGCGTTCTTTCTTATCGTTATTATAGTTCTTGATAATTTTAAAATTCGACAACGCTGCCAAACAAAGGAAAACAGATCTTCTATATTTGGAATAGTAGACTGCGACATTGTAGCTTCTAACAAACAGCGCGTATCTACATCTAATGCATTAGAACCCATATAAAAAAGGAAAAACCCAGATAAATTTTCCACACCGAGAATTTTTTATCATTGTTTCATCATTTTTAACATTGTCATTGAAAACATTAATAAAAATATTTAAATCTGATAGTGACTTTGTAATAGTCATTGATTTTCGTAACACTTTATGAGAGGGCTCCATACGTCATCATAGTTGGCAGCAGAGAGTCGGCAAGATTTTATCGTGTTTAACGCCGGACTAGATAAACATGATAATAATAGATAAAATCGGTCGATTTTATTAATATTTCTGGCGGAAACAAAATAATTAAATCTTACATAAAAAGAACTCCATTTTTTGTGTCCATTTACCATCAAATTTAGGCAAATCGAAATTCGGTAAATAATAAACGCCTTGTTCCTCCTCTCCACGGTTTCAGTTTATGCACTTTTTCTCGGCATACGATATCCCGGTTCGAAGGGCCAAATGTTTGAACGCAATGTACGGTGATAATTGTGTGGGTTAGTTAACGTTTGTTCTTTTATCTTTAATCATGCAGGATAATCATTTAGGGGAATGGGCTGTATATGAAATTGAGGATGGTACTTACACTGGAAGAAATTAAAAGAATTGTGAAACAAGGTTTATATATTAAATTAACAATAAATATAAAATATCATAGAATAGGTGAAATAATTAAACAAATACAATCTACAAATAATGTATAATATCTGCCTATCGACTTTATGGCAGGTAGTTTACACAATGACAGAATGAATTATAGTTTCAAGATTGATCTTGAATGACACTGATTTGACTAATGTAGTGCGGTGAATCGTACAGACAATTTAACACGATATGCACAAGGGCATAGACTGTTATTGCAATTCAATAAGCCACAATGAATCACAGGGGTGATTAATCAATTAAACAACTTAAAGCTAGGTACACCATAGAACCATAGCGTCATAGCGATAACGTCTCTCGCACAATTGGTGGTAGTGCAAGCGGCGTTGTCAGTCACAACATAATACGTAAGAAGAAAAACGCCCTCTCGTAACTACATATCCAACAGTATTTGTCTTTTAGCCAAGGTCTGACTATGAGTTATATATCCTGGCTCAGTCGTTGATAGTCCTACTGATTTTTGCCTTTGCGAGCCCCCAGCAATTGTTTGATTACCCATCATGAATATAGCACCTGATGTTGATTTTCTCCAACGTAATCAGCATCCTGTAAGTTCAAGTTTAGCACTGAAATAATTAAATGGACCATAATAAATAAATAATAATACTGTAGCTCATAAATACTTAAATATACGTTTAACCGCATTCCAATGTATATTCTGTACGTCTGGTTTATGTTCGATCTCAATACCAAGGAATTGGTCTATCTAACTTTCTTTCTTCTTGAAATTATCATTTAAGTATGTCATCAATTTGTTCACAAAGTCGTTACTTATTGCTGCCATTAGTCCTTCAACTACAATAATAGCCACAATTAGTAAAACGTTATTTATATTATTTACAAATACACATGAATCCGGCTATTGTTTACAATTGTTAATAAAAATCGTACCGAATTATACTTAACTACTGGGCTAAGTAACTCTTGAAAATTAATCCCCTAAACTTGTGCACAACCTTTTACAACTAGTCTAGCTTTATACCTGTCGATTTAACCATTTGCCTGGTACTTAATACGGTAAATCTATCAATAATTACTATTTTGTTCACTGGTCAATAGGGTGGCCCTCAAAAATCGAATGTGTTTTTTTTTTTACGCTACCCCTTAATTTTTTTTTTTAATGGTCAAAAAAATGAGCTATGCAAAATTTGGGACCGATCCATTAAGGTTAACCCGTGCCCCCGTTAAGTTGAGTCGAAGAGTCAAATTTAATAGAAATAACTGATCTATGTCTCATAACTTTTTTTTCTCTTAACTTAGAATAATAAAAGTAAAACTCAAGTAAAGGAAATTTTACAAGAAATTCAAAAATAATAACTTCAATGTTGTTTTCTCAATAAATAGCCCACAAAAACACTACATACAGTAAAAAACATGTAAAAGTCTTAAAATACATTATAACTGATTTTGTTGATTTTTAATCATTTATTTTCATTTTATTTTTTGGAAAATGCATATTCGTTTAAAAGAATATTCTAGAAGTTTAATTTTTATGCCAAGTACGATAATTATATTAGATTTATTATAAATAAAAAATAAAATAATAGAAATTTTATCAAGGGTTTATGATAATGTTTTATTAATACGAACAAAATAACTATTCTATAAATAATTATTGTTCAAGACAAGAAAAAAAATTATCATATTGATAAATATATCATAGATTCAATAGTAATGATATATTTATCAAATTGAACAATGAATTTATTATATAGATCGAGGTTTTTCTCTGGGTGCAGAAATGTGACGTCACTATCATAATATGAAATAACAGTGGACTGCTCTGTTTGTGTCCACAATAATGATCGTTCATTTAAGATTATTAATATTTTTATTTATAACTTATATTCATAAGAATAACATGATTGTTTTTCTTTAAGAAATTCATAAACTATACTTGTCAGCTCTTTTTAATCTTATCTTAATAATAAAACACAATGTGTAAAATCCTAAACGTCTTATAAAATATCAAAGTGAATTGTATATTATTTGAATGTATTAATTTATATATTTGATGATATTTTATATATTAATTTCTATATTTTATGATTACTTGTCAATAAAATAATTAGCTATATATATAAAAACAAACTAAAGGGATTTTCTCCTACCGATTATCACCTTCATACGTGTAAAAAAAAAATCAATTTTGCTATATAAGTGGAGAAACAGCATATATACGTTTAATAATTCGTTTTCATGTGTTCTACTAGTTTCTTTATGTTCATCAGTCTTATTTTTTAATACAGAAGATCGAAAATCATTAATAATGTAAGTAATATATAGTTACTTTTTTCAAAGTAAAATAACTTTGACAATAATATTTTTTTAATTTTCAGTAAAATTATTTCAGTATATTCCTTGAGTTACATTTCAAATTGGGGAGAAATAATTCAAAAATCGAGTTAAAGTATGCTATATTTTACATATTTATATTATTTTTTTTCTGAAGCAATGTTTGTAAAAATAATTTTTAATCTTTAGGAATATATTTTCACTGTGTTCATTTGCAAATATTGAAAATAAATTTTTCATCGAGGTTTAAATTGCTCTTTTTTTTAAAGAATAAAAATCACAGTAAGTTATTAAAATTTTTGTTACTAAACTCTACTATTCAGTTCGAAGTGTACATATTTCTTTTTATTAATTTTAGTCGTAAAAATTTTATACAATGCATCTTCCATTAAGCCTAAATGATGTCGAAGACATCGTAAAGTACTTGAAAGCGCAAAATGTTTGCCAATTTAATATATGAGCAGACATTTTGTACGAATCCAGAAATTTTACGGTGTCTGAGAAAGGCATTAAATATGAAGATGCATTAAAAACTCCCGTGACGCTTGATATGATTAGAAGTGACTGTCAAATTTATAAATCTGAAATCCGTTCAGGCGTATACAATTTATTGTTTGGGGAAAAAAATTATTTGAAGTTCAATTTTTTTTCTATATTATCACATAATGTAAATAATGAAATTATGTACTCCATATGCACAACTGATGATTGCATACGTGATATGGCGTATGATCAAGATAGCTTTACAATAAAATATATTAAAGATCAAATATGTATTAATCAGAATAGCATGTACTATTTAATTTTCCATCGCAATACAAATGTCATTATTGTGATGATCAATTATTTAAATGGTTCATTTAAAAAAGATTATGTATATAGGGTCAAGTGGGGTAAATGGAAATTGGGGCAAAAGGAAAAAAATATTATTTAAAATAAATTATTAGTGATTATAGAATTCGGTATCATTATAACCACAGTACATATAAGGTATAATAGTGTGCAATGATAAAAATATGGAAAATTTGAGGATATGTATAAATTGTTATCACTCGAAAAAGTGTTTATGATTATTTTAGATTATATTTTCTGCTCAACGGCTTTTGAGAAGGGCATCTTCATCAAAAATATAAGTAGAACAGTACAGTTTGAACTAAATTGTCATTTCATATTTACTTATTTACTATACGGCCCTAAAACTAGTTTAATATCACTTTTTCTATGGAATTATATATTTTTTGTAAAATACAAAATAAAAATCAATTGGGGTAAATGGAAATTTGGTTTTGGGGTAAATGGAAATATTAATAACAAATATAATTTGAAATATTACGATCTTTATCATTTTTTTTTCAACTTCAGAGTGCGTAATTATATCAAAAAAAACATATTAACAGTTGTAGAAAATAAAATTTCATTAGAACCTTAAACGTCAAACACTTTTATAGACTAAATTTTTCCAACATCAAGTAATAATATCTCAGTAAGCCCAAAATATATAATATCTATTTTTTCAATTCAATTAATACAATATAAAACTAACAATACAATTTGTGTTACAAAAGACCGAGTTCCTCGTTTTAGAGTAACAAAGTATGGTGAAGTTTTAACAAATAAAAATGTGTTAAAATAATTGGAGGAAGCACCTCAAAGAAAAAGCTAATCAAATATCCTAGTAAACTTGGGAGACCTAAGAAAGCTACTAAAGATGTACACAATATTGTGTTGGAACAATCATATAACAATCATATTGATAATATTGATGATGTAGTTTATCATTCATCAGAAGATGATTGTAATGACAATTCATTAGATTTAAGTATTGAAGAAGTTTTATACAATACACCAATTTGGTCTCAAATAAAACCTGAAGTATTTCTTTTAAGAGATTTTATTGGAGGGATCCGTAAGAAACAACATTTTAAGTATGTATGTTTAATTAAACGTGTAGATGAAGATGATGGGGATATTTTAGTCCGAGGATTAAAAAAAAATAATGAAATTGGAACTGATTTTTATATTGTTGAAAATGACTTGTCAGATATTACAATAGAGATGATTCTTGTAATATTACCAATACCAACTGAACATAAGAAGAACAGAAATACGACATACACATTTCCTGGATACATAAATGTCGATGAAAAATAATCAGGCACTACNACGCTTGATATGATTAGAAGTGACTGTCAAATTTATAAATCTGAAATCCGTTCAGGCGTATACAATTTATTGTTTGGGGAAAAAAATTATTTGAAGTTCAATTTTTTTTCTATATTATCACATAATGTAAATAATGAAATTATGTACTCCATATGCACAACTGACGATTGCATACGTGATATGGCGTATGATCAAGATAGCTTTACAATAAAATATATTAAAGATCAAATATGTATTAATCAGAATAGCATGTACTATTTAATTTTCAATTTTCCATCGCAATTCAAATGTCATTATTGTGATGATCAATTATTTAAATGGTTCATTTAAAAAAGATTATGTATATAGTATTTCCTTTTTTTAATTTTTGAAAATGTTGAAATAATTATTGATTAATAAATGTAATTTTTTTTTTATAACTTTGTAATAAAATATTGATGAATACCTAAATGTTTTTTTTCTTTACTTTATTTAACTTTAATTTTTTTCTGATTACTCTAATAATAATTAATCATATGGTATTAAATGATGAAAAGAAAAAGTTAATATTATGTTTTAGTAGATGACTTATAAAGGTATAACTTTCAGAATAGTATTTATACTATTATTTGTGTAGTTTTTAGAAAATGATAATATAAAATAACTGTTTTCATACATATAATACAAATAATATTATATTTATGTATATATGTATATTAAGGTAGCTATGGACAGCTTGAAAAATAAATTGAACCAACAAGCTGAAGTTAAAGGTTATTTAAAACTCAGCGATCTCAAAGAAAAAGAAAAATATGAAGTAATAGCTATGAAAAATGTTAATACAAGAAATGGTACGGTGGTGGTTGCCCAACTCATAGACAACAACCATGTGTTTATACCAAGAATAAAATTAACAGATGAAGAAATTAACGAATACAATAATAATAATAAAAAAATATTCTTAAAATATAATGGCAAAATCGGAAATGCTTACATATTTGATTTTCAATAAAATAAATATTACTCTATATTTTACTCATGTTTTTATTTAAATTTTTATTATTAGTATATTATATAAAGAATTTTTACACAGTCTTAAATAAATAATAATAATATTGACTGTTGATTAATTTAATTATTTAAATAAAAAATAATCATTCTATAAACAATTTTATTGTGTGTTTATATATATAATTATTACACATCTGTAGTTAAAGACTAACTATTCAAAATGTATTGATTCTAAGAGAATCAATCTAAAAAGAGAAATTACATTTAACGTAATTAAAATTTCAATTTTCAAACTATACTATAGTATAGTATATTTCAAACTATACAAACAAACTTTATTAATTTTTTAAATAATTTATCACTGTGTTATATTGAAAGATATAGCATTTTTTTCATATCAAATAATACCTAACACAATATTGAAATGTTACTATTCAATTAAAAAAAAAAAAAATTTTAAATGAATATTACACATTGAACTGAATAGTTGTATAGTAATGTATGGTTTGTGAAATATATATATATATTTTGTTAAATAAGAACTTATTTACTAATCTTAGTTGTCAATATGTCGAGTTCATATGAATATGTTTGCGGTTGCGGTCGATCGTTTATCGATAATGACGGATTAAGATTGCATTATAAATTGAACCTGGATCATCGACAAACGGTTATTGCTACTGTTGGTTGTCTACAAAAACGACTCTTGTCGACACGTACAATGAATGGTAAGGTGACCAAACGTAATTGTATGCATACAGTAGGTTCGGGTTTTATGCCGATAGAAACAGCTCTCGGAGGACGTGTAAAACATTTTTTTTTTAAAAACAAAACGGAAATTGACGAAATTGAAAATTTTATTCATTACATCGGTGCTGATTTGTTTAATGTATTGAAAGATTCGAGCGAAGTTGGTTTAATAAAATTTAACGTTGTTTTGCACACAACTTATTTACATCAAGTTATGGGTGAACTGAGGGACGTCTCATTTAAAACACGCAACAAAACCATCGATTCAGGCACTGATTACACCGGTGTTTTGAATAAAATCAATAAAAAACTTGCCCAGAAACAAGAAACAATAGAAACCAGACGGACTACTTTTGAGGGTGACAAAATTTTCACCGTTGCGTGGTAGTTCGTTCATTGATCTTCCATCGTGTATTAAACACAAACACGCTATTATAAATGTTCAAAATAAAACCGACAATCAATGTTTTAAATGGGCGATTCTATCGAGATATAATACAAAAAAAAAAAACAAAGATCAGTGGAATGCGGGTTATCTCGATTTAGAAAAAAATTCAAATATTAATTTCATCGGTATTGATTATCCTACTCCAATTAAACAAATAAATAAGTTTGAACGTAACAACCCGTTTTTGTCCATAAACGTGTTTGCATTGGACGATAAAAATAATGTTTATCCATTGCGTATTACCAAATTACGTTCGAACACCGAACACATCGATGTACTTTACATCACAGAGGGTGGCAATAGCCATTATTTCTACATACAAAATTTCTCTAGATTAGTCTCCAAACAACGAAGTGCCGGTCATTATCATGAAATCTATTGTAAGCGCTGCCTCAGCGTGTTTACGGACCGAACGCTATCGTCCCGTCCGAGTGGACAAGCGGGTCTGGATGAACATTTGAAAATGTGTGGTAAGTTTAAGGAAGCGCGAGCTGTCCTACCCCCAGTCGATTCGGACCAGTCAATATTGCGCTTCAAAAATACGAGACGGGAGGAACCGGTACCGTTAATAGTTTACGCCGACTTGGAAAGCTTACTTCACCGTGCAGACAAACGAATATCGAAAAACTGTGTTGTTATCCAAAACCACGAGACAATGAGCAGTTGCTTTTTCGTTGTACACGATTCCGATATATTACCGGATAATATGTGTGCTGATTTGCCGAACTATCCGGTCTTGTATCGTGGACCGGATGCAGCAAAAAAATTCGTCATGTCATTGGTAACTATAGCTAAACGAGTATCTGATATTATGAAAATTAACATTGAAATGGTGCGGTTGACGGTGGAGGAACAAAACCGTTTCGATAATGCTAAAAATTGTGAATCGTGTTCGATAATGTTTTCGGATAAGGTCTATAAAGTCAAAGACCACAACCATTGGACGGCAAAATTCCGTGCCGCTTTATGCAACAACTGCAATTTACAACGACGTACTCCGGCTTTCATGCCGGTTATCTTACACGGTCTTTCCAACTACGACGCACACATGATTATACAAGAAATGACATACGACAAAGAAGATATAAGTGTAATAGCTCAGTCCGAAGAAAAATATATTTCATTCAGTAAAACTATTAGTGAATACTTTCAAATAAGATTTATAGATTCGTACCGGTTCCTACAAGCTAGTCTGTCTAAAATAACATCAACATTGTCGCGTCCGGATTTCGTGCACACGTTGAACGTGTTTCAATCGTTGGACTTGGTGACAAGGAAATCGGTTTTTCCATATGAGTACGTGGACTGTTGGGAACGACTTAATGAAAAACAGCTTCCACCACGCAGTGAGTTTTACAGTTCGATAACACGGTCTACGGTGTCCGAGGATGATTATGAGCATGCAAAAAATATGTGGCGACATTTTGGATGCAAGACCCTTGGCGAATACAGTGACAAGTATTTACTTGTCGACGTTATGGTATACAGAAAAAAATTATATATATATATATATATATAATTATTATTATTATTATTACAGGTTCTAGCTGATGTATTTGAAAATTTCCGTAAGGAAAGCTTGAAAAATTATAAACTAGACCCTGCACACTACTTTTCATCTCCGGCCCTTTCGTTTGACGCCATGTTAAAGTACACAAACGCACACATTCAGTTGTTATCGGATCCAGATATGCTGTTAATGTTTGAACTGGGTATACGTGGGGGTCTAACACAAGTAAGCATAATTATTGAATAAAAAAATTAATAAAATTTATCAAACTAAAAGCAATTATTAAATATAGGTTAATCAGCAATATGCACGTGCGAACCACCCGAGCTTAGTCGATTACAAACCCAATGAAGCACACAAGTATCTTCAATATTTAGACNAACCACCCGGGCTTAGTCGATTACAAACCCAATGAAGCACACAAGTATCTTCAATATTTAGACGCTACTAATTTATATGGCACGGGTAAGAATTGTACTTATATATTTTTATACACGTATACAATAATATTTGTTTATTTTTACAGCAATGATGGAACCCATTCCGTTTGGCTATTTTGAGTGGTCGACTGTTACATTGGAAGAGATACTCAACACACCCGACGACGGTGAATACGGTTATCTTGCAGAGGTCGATGTAGATTATCCCCGAGAACTACACGACTTACACAACGATTTACCGTTTTTTCCTGTTAACGAAAAACCGCCATTAACGTCTTCTAAATGTAGTAAACTGATGACTACATTAGATCCCAAACGTGGTTACATTGTACATTACCGAGCTCTAAAACAAGCTGTAAAACATGGTGTGGTAGTTACCAAATTGCATAAATGTATCAGATTTATGCAATCTCGTTGGTTGGCTCCTTACATTCAGCTTAATACGGATTTGCGCAAAAAAGCGATCACCACGTTTGGACAAAACTTACCCAAAACGATGATCAACTCAAACTACGGTAAGAATATATATATATATATACAAATATTTTTTTAAATTATTTTTGATTTTATAGGAAAAACTTTGGAGAATGTTAGAAAACACCAAAATATCAAACTCGTATGTAACCCGGAGAAATTGTCAAAGTTGACTGCAAAACCGTCGTATAGCCACAGCACCATATTCAATGAAGATTTAGTTGCTGTTCACATGTACAAGGAAAGGATTAATTTTTATAAACCAATTTTTATCGGGCAGGCAATATTGGATATCAGTAAAACTATAATGTACAAATTCCATTATGAAGTTATGTTACCGTTATATGGACCGGAAAGGCTCATGTTATGTTACATGGACACCGATTCTTTTATCTACCTAATTTTGACTAATAGTTTTCACGATGATTTGAAAAATTACCTGCTCGAATATTTCAATACATCCAATTATCCCACCGACCACCCATGTTACACCGATAAACGTAAAAAAACAACCGGGTACGTTTACTGACGAATGCAAGGGCATGCACATGCAAGAAATCATCGCATTATTGCCCAAAGTCTATGCATATTTGACAACTCTGCAAAACTACAGTGATCAAGTGTTTACGAGAGACGTCGATGAAGTGAAACGATTGAAAGGTGTGGGTCAAGGTGTAGTCAAACACGAAATCAAGATGGTTGATTATTTAAATTGTTTGCGGGACAGGCTCAAACAAATACGAAAGAAAATGTCGTTAATACGTTCTAAACATCACCGCGTTTCAACGGTAGAAATTGATAAGCTCGCATTGTCCAACAACTATGACAAGCGTGCGATGGTCGGTGACGAATGTGAATACAAAGATGTGTACACAAAAGCGTGGGGACATTATTCCCTACAAAACTCGAATGTCAACGAATAATATTTATTTATATATCAATGTATGATAACGCATAATAGAGTAGTCATATAAATAATATGCATTTAAATTTTATTGAATTAAACGTATGCAAATGTTTAATAAAATAAATTATAAAAATGTTCTATTATTATATATATATATATGTGTATAAGCTCACAAACTGACAGAATAAACAAACAGCATATAATTAGTTAAATTTATTTTATTGAACAAAGTAATACATCAAGTATATGTAAAAAATAATTATAATAATAATAAATGTATTATGAACTATCAGTTAACCACTGTTTCAAACACATTACTTTGTATAAACTACACATTTTGTGGTTGTTCATATGTCTGATACAACGTGGTTGGAATTCTTCACATAATTTTCGTAAAANAATTCTTCACATAATTTTCGTAGTGGTGGGCACTCTTCTTCGATTTCGTAAACATTTTGCCCGGGTAAATAATTTTGCAATATTTGTTTTTTCTGCACGCCTTTCACGTAGATACTTTCACACCGTAGCAGTGCCATTATTCTTGGCAACTCGGAATATTCGACGTCACCGATATTTGCGTCCAAACCTTGATGATGTTTTTTTACCCAGTAGTTGATCATCATTTCGTCTTCGGCGGCGAACAATTTTAACATTTTGAATGTCCAGTGAGCGAGAGACATTGAGTTCAAATCTATAGCGGACATTTCGTTGATCACAAACGAACGATTGGTCGCCACCACCCCTTGTATATCGACAATCATTGTCGTGAGAAATCTGTTATCGGTATCCATGAGTTGTGTTCCGGTCCAAAACCCAACCATTTAACGTAACACTTATTTCCGCGTGTACGCAACACTCGTTCTACAAGATACGTCTCCGGATACTGTGTGCGAGTCAACTCTTCGGTGTAAAACGTACCCTGAATGGGATTTCCCTGGTAATCTTCCAAATAATATGTTGGCGGCAATGTACGTTTGACCTTGATTACAGTGAACAGTTCACTGCTCCAGTTGGGCAAATAGCCCTTGTCAAACACGGATTTCGTTTTGCTAATTCTCACTTTGTCGCCTACTCGGAATTTAATTGGTAAATTATCGGGTATTTTTCGTAATTTAATACGTACTGCACTGGGATTCCGAATAGCTTGTGCCGGTGTCATACCAATATTTCTGTGTACGTGTTTGTTGTTATAATCGTTGACCAGATTTGGTAACATACCCAACCATTTGTATGATCCTCGAGCTGTAAAATCACGCCACATTAACGTCTTCAGCGTGCGATTGAAACGTTCCACGAGACATGCTTGTGACGTTGTAAACGTTGAATAATGATGAATCCCATACCGTACCATTAACGCCTGGAATTGTTTGTTGTAGAACTTGGTACCACGATCGGTTTGCAAAAGTTTTGGTTGGTATCCAAGTTTCAGGATGTCTGCCATTGCGGTTGTTACATCTCGTGCTGTTTTACTTTTCAGTGGTACGGCCCACGCGTATTTTGTAAAACCGTCCACACATGTTAAAATGTACCGGTAACCACGATCTGCGTACGTAGTCATCTCCACTAAGTCGGCATGCCATAAATCATTGATTCCCTTAATATTAATACGCCGTCGTATATACGTTTTCCGAGCCGGACGGTGTAGTTCGTGTGCAATTTTCGTTTTCATAATGTAGACGGTATGTCCGCAATGTATCCAGCTTCGTGTAGTTCTTCTAGTATGGAAATAATCTCGGGCGACACTCCACTGTTGCCGGCAGACTGAGCCGATACAAGCAACTTCAAACGTTGCACAAGTTCATTGGGGTCGTCCCAATATAAGTACTCTTTCTTGTCGTTTCCACTGTCGTTGACTTTCAATTGTAAACCCGACCCCTTGATATTATCGAACATTGGTTCGATAATTTCCACATACTTAGCGCCGCCTTTTTTCAACGTCAAATTTCTATTTAAATGAGCTCCGGTTTCCTCCAATATTGTCTTGTACGTTTCCAAATCACTATCGTTGTATGTGATAGGATTTTTCGAAAATAATAAATTAACGAGGCCCATCGACAATGGATATTTTATTCCGTAAACACGAACACTATCTCCATTTACGGTTATATCATTCGTATCGCCCATACTTAACGTACCATCCGGTTGGATTTTCGGGCCATACACTTTATCTCTATTTGGATTTTTAGTCCATTGTTCTATTAGATGCGTAAAAGATAACTCTGAAAAACTGTTACCTTCAGAGTCAAATTGTTGTTGTTGTTTCTGTGTATTAGCATTAATGGCGGTTGCATTAGAAATTTTATTCAATGGTTCGATTATAGGTGCTAGTTTTTGTTGAACGCTAGTCATCGTCTCCGATTCATTACGACGCAACTCTGTGTATTTTCTTCTAATATTCTCTCGGGCTTGATCCAATAACTTCATCGTGGATTCTTTTTTCTTTTTCTCATTATTATTGTTATCATTATTATTATTATTATTTTCAGCATTCATATTGTTACATACGTATCAAACTTATACCTGTATCGACCACTGTCACGTGCGAAATCCGTACATATTACTGCGAAGCCATATTTATCATTTTCCCAACAATGTCTGCAAAATTCTTTGAATTCATTAAATTTCATATCACAACACACGTATTCATCGTACGCGTGTCGCAAATTGACTTCGTCTTGTCGAAACAACACCACCACATTTGCATTATCTCGCAACATTTGTTTTTGTATGCGAGACAGGGTCTGTGAGAGGAAAAAGACATCAACCCTTTTATGTCGACCGCGTGCGAAATAATCGCACATTACATTCTGTTTTTCCATGACCACATCGTCAAAAATAAACACCGAATTGGGTAGAACTAAATCCACGTGTGGTACATCATCGCCATTTTCAAATGTGAACAACTGAATTCCTTCGATTCCTTTCAATACTTGAATTAAAAATTGATATTTGTATTGACCCAAAGACTTGGAATATATATATACGTTTTCAAATCTCAAACCATTCGAATCGCACAAAAGTGTAAAAATTAAATTGGTTTTTCCACAATTTGACGGTCCGCATATGATAGCTCGTATAGTGTTTGGCAATAACTTTCCATGTTTATATTGTTGATGTAGTTGTTGCAAATCTGCTTGATCGTCAAAATTGACAACGGCTAGCGTTTCGTTCTGTTTTTCAAAACGCATCGAAAATAATTTATTTATTTTTCTAGTATAATTATTATTAATTATATTAATATTTAAACAGTAACATATCTTCTTGTGCTATTGAAAATGTTATGGTTTATTAACTTTTGTAATCTTTTGTTTTCCTTTTATACTTTTTTCACTATCACCAGAGAGCTCTTTTGTTTGTTTATTTTATACTTTTTTGTTTTTACTATAAATATAATAGAAATTTGTATTTTCACATTAAAAGTGAAAATGAAAGAGCAACGGTCGCAACGACGTCGTGGTGTACGACGGAAACGAGGTTCCGGTATTGTAAACTCAGTAATTAACAGTCTTCCGTTCGAAGCTGACGTGCCAGGATATCAGTTCGCGGGCCCTGGAACTAAATTACAAAAACGTTTGATTTGTGGTGACCGTGGTATCAATCCATTGGATGCAGCATGTCGTGAACACGATATAGCATATGCAAAGAGTAATTCTCTTAAGGACCGTCATCAGGCCGATAAAATTTTAGAACACCAAGCGTGGGAACGAGTGCGTTCCAAGGACGCGAATTTATCAGAACGTGCAGTGACTTGGGGTGTGACAAATGCGATGAAGTTGTAACGCGAACTTGGTATGGGATTCAAAATAAAAAAAAAATAAAAAAGTTGTGCCAAATTTACAAATTACAGCACAAAAAGCACTGCTTGCAGCCAAACGCAAGATCAAGACGAGTCGCATGCACGTACCTCGCATAATAAATATCCCGAAAAGCGGAGGAGTGTTACCATTAATTCCTATTTTTGCCGGGCTGTCGGCACTAGGAGCATTGGCCGGTGGTGCTGCAAATGTTGTAAAGGTTGCCAGTGAGTTCAACCGTAGGGGTATTAAAGTAGGAAATGGAATGTATATTCGACCATACGGTACCGGATACAAGATAGATAAAAGAAAGCAAACAAGCAAAAAAATAGAATAAAAAAAACGAACAAAAAGTGTAAATACAAAACAAAAAACTAATATTTCAGCTACCCAATCGTGTGTTATTTGACGATGAAATAAAAAATTTCGCATGTCACGTGCTCGATTCTCATGTATTTCGCGGTGTATTTTGTCGTGATACGCTGCCTCGTACACCACCTCGTATAAACGAGATGGGCGTAATCAATTTGGATTTATCGAGCAATCGTGGCACTAATTGGGTGGCTTACAGTAAACGTGGTAATCACGTAAAGTACTTTGATAGTTTTGGCAATTTACCTCCTCTATTGGAAGTAATACGGTATTTTAAAAGATGTACTATCACGTATAACTACAGAAGCTATCAGACATTTGACCAGATCAATTGCGGACACTTGTGTTTAAAATTTCTCATGAAAAATGTCGTCAAGCGTAAAAGCATCGTCGCTGACAGTTAGCGGTAAAGGATCAATAATCGAATGTAATTTTAATCCACACATCGATGTTTCCGATAATTGTGAAATCGGACTGTTAAGCTTACACACTTGGAACACGATGCCAAACATTGATGAAAGTAATAATGTAATTGTTTTTTCTAAGCCCGGTCATGAACCCATACTTACGGTAACACTGCCCGTCGGAACGTACGAAGTGGAAGATTTAAATAATTATATTGCCGAACGGTACAAAAAAATTTCATTTCAATACACAATTATTGAAAAAAATGAAGATATAAGAGTGACTTCGTCGTTTAAACTCGTAGTGAACCACGTGACAATGCATTGTGAAATATCGTGTGGACATCCAATTGATTTCACTCGACCAAGATCTTTTTGTCGTTTATTGGGTTTCAATCCTCGACATTTGGACACTAATAGTATAAACATATCGGATTATCCAGTATCCATAACAAGTATTACATCTATTCGCGTAGACTGTAATGTTATTGTAGGTTCATTCCACAATGGATCACAATCACATACGTTACATGAATTTTCTCCCAACGTGGCACCAGGCTACCGCATTATAGAGATACCCAGACAAATTGTTTACTACCCGTTAAATACAAACGTGTTGGATACAATACGGATCGCTTTACGAAATCAAGAAGGATGTCCAATAAATCTCAAAAACGAAGAATTATCAGTACGGTTGCACATTAAACATAAATAACAACAGAGAAGAGAAAATTTTCCATTCAATTTCCATCCACATTCGTTCACGAATGGTTTTTCGTTACATGTGTACAAGTGAATTTCACTATTAACCATTTGTTTGTCAATAACACACAATTACATTTCATATGACGGTACCGCTGAAAACAGAGTAAAACATGCCTCTGATTTTTACTAACCGTACGCACACTTCAAACGTATCTACTGCGGTAACAGTGAAAAATAAGAAAAAATCACCACACTTAGTGATTGACGACGGTGTACACAAACATCAGCATCGTGGCGGTGCTTTCATCAAACGGTCTTGGACTGTGCAACGAGTAAACCGTGTGCCGTCGTATTCGAAAAAACTGTCAAGAAAAAATATTGCATATCTAAAATTGTTGGGTTGTCGTGTTATCGTCTAAACGAAAAAACAATGTCGGACTATCTACAAGTTTTAGAAAAATACCAGCAGGATGATAACGTGAAGCGAGAATACTACTTGGAACATCAAAGCTACAACAATTCGTATGGAAACAACGATGAGATACGCATTGAATTGCGTAATAAGGAAAAATTCACTATACCATGCGAAAGTTACTTGCAGATCGAGGGAAAAGTTGAAAAACCGGTTGCAGCCGTCGGTACAGTAGTAATGAATCAAAATTCTATGATGAATCTTTTTGATGAAATTAGATTTGAAATAAACAATCAGACAATTGATAAAACAAAAAATGTTGGTGTAACTACGACTATGAAAGGATACTGTTCGTTCACGCCTAACGATATCGTACGGTTACAACCAGCTGGATGGAAAAACGAAAATAAATTATACAAAGACGAAGACTTCATGGATGACAACGAATTCGTAGCACAATGTCCGCTGTACATGTGTATGGGATTTTTCGAACGATACCGGCGTGCATTAGTGAACTGCAATCAAACACTTATTTTGATACGATCGGGCACCGACAGTTCCGCTATAATGCTCGTACCACCAACAGAAGCGCAAAAAGAACAAGTTATGTCCAAAAGTAATATTGCGTTAATTAAACAGACGAAAGTGAATATTACAAAAATTAAATGGGTCGTGAAGTATTTCGAACCGAATGTAAAAACGGAATTGGGTCTAATGCGTATATTGGATAATAAAAAATGGTTACCGTTAGAGTTTCAACACTGGGACACTGCAGTATACCCACTGGTTCCGCAAACAACCGCTCATACGTGGCCGGTGCGTGCGTACTCAGGTGTTGAAAAACCTAGGTATCTACTCATAGCCATGGTGACGGAATCCGATGGGGTACACGGAAATTTCAACCATTGTTCTCTGCGCAACATTAAAGCGTATTTGAACGCGGACGAGTACCCGTACGAAAACCAAAATGCAGATTTTGACAAAGGCAAGTATGCGATATTTTATAACTCGTACGCACAATTTCAATCAATGTACTACGGTCGGCTGAACCCTTACCCTTATTTGGATCGGGTCAACTACAAAAAAATCGGACCCATATTCGTCATAGATTGTTCGAAACAAAACGAAACCGTCAAATCGTCCACAGTGGATCTACGTTTGGATTTCGAATGTGTAAATCAATTTCCCGCTAAAACTACACTGTACTGTGTTATCATACACGACTGTCAAATGGAATACAACGCATTTACCGGAGAAGTGCGCAAATTGTAAATTATATATAAATATAATATCAAATAGGTTTATTTTATATTATATTCATTTTAAACAATATATTGTTTAATAATTATTTTGTATAAGATAAATTTATTATAATTATACTTTAATTACTATTATTAATAAAAATAATAAAAGATGTCGACAATTTGATTATGATTTTTATTTATTTATATGTAGATAACAAATGCAAACACATCCACCACTACAAAAACAACCCATAAGCAGCGTCCGTATAGTATAGTAAAATAATGTATACATGTAAAACCGTGTGTAAGGATGTTTAAACGGTGGAGATAAAAGTAATAATAATAATACGCGAATTTTGGAACGGACCCGTGGTGGTCATGAAAATAGTAAAAAATATAGAGGGGCCATCGAAATTGATCTCATACGAAAGACAGATGGGAGATTGGATGAGGGTGACGAACAAAATTTTCAGACCTCTAGGACCAGCCGTTTCTTAGTTACAGGCGATTTATGTGAATTTTCCGAAAATTCACATTTATCGTAAACGCTACAACAACATTAAAGGATAAGAGGGTCCCTGAATTCGCCGTGACATCATATTAACGTCAGAACTACGCCTGAGTCAAGGTTCACGCACCGTACACAACGTTATTTTGACGAAGTACGGGAGCATACACCGCTGTAATATATACACAGCAGGGGACACATACGTCACACTTAGGACACCACACAGTAGGGATTCCGGTAACTACACCACTTGTGTTTGTGACGTAGACACTGTCATATGGTCGGCTAGGGCTAGGTTCTAGNTAGACACTGTCATATGGTCGGCTAGGGCTAGGTTCTAGCGTACATAGTATGCGATGTCAACACTTTCACTGGGGCCCCGACGGCATGACAATCGTCACCCGAAGGGGACTCCCATAGGAAACGTCATTTTGACATCATCACTAATGGCACCCTCACGCTAACTTGGCTTACACCGTCGTATACGACGTCATTTTGACGTCATCGCCACTGGTTTTCCTTGGGTTGTCACACAATCAGTGTGACGTCACTTGCGCGGAGTGCATCTCAGCTGTGTACCCATTGTTCTCCGAGAACAATAGCCCATTGTTACGAAAACAATAGGTGACGTCATTGTCGGCACCTTTGAGAGCCAAAACGCATCATACCATTACTACTGGAATGATTCCCGTATCGTCATTTTTCATCACTACCTCATCACTACGTTGCGCGCCTGCTGCTATCCTTGGATGTGGTAACCGTTTCTCAGACTCCCTCTCCGAAATCGAACCCTGATTCCCCTTTACCCGTTACAACCATGATATTGATAGTAACTACTATCATAACATGTAACTAAAAAGTGAAAAATAAATATAGTTTAAAAAAATCATAGTCATTTTTTTTATTTAAAGCTGAACTTTTGATTATAACTTTTTATTTATTTAACTTACAATTATGAAACATTAACCAACAAATAGATAATTTACTATTTTTTTTTTCAATTTTAGTTATTTGTTAGCTTAAAAATTAACAGAGCTTACTTAAAAAATGCTGGATATTTTACTATGAAAATTTTAATAAAATAACTGTGTATTATTTATTAAATATAACACGTTCAATATTTTAATTTAATTTTTTGTTTCTTTTAAAGACTTAAGTCAAGTGCTGATAACTTCATAGGAAATTATTATTTCACTTATCGTAAACTGTATATAAAAATAGATGTAAGGGTTACTGAATAATTAAACATTTTTTTTCAAGTCTTCTGAAAAAACACTAATTTTCTAAAAATTTTGGAAATTATATTACAAAAATCTTTAAACCTGATTGTTAGGAAATTAAAAAACTTCATACAACCCATTGCAATACCTATTTCAATCTAAGCTCCTCAATTACAAACATATTTAGTTTAAATTCAACTTTACTTAGGTTTTGTTTGAATTAGAATATTTCTAATATAATTTAATAAGTTAATCCGTATCTTGATTTATTAAGTTTGAAAACATACTTTTGTTATTTATTATAAAGGAATTCTTTTATAATTTTTGGCACTCATGTTAAATAACTCATAAAAAAAATATTGTGGTAACGTTCTTATTTTTTTCATCAAAAATTGCTCTTAAAAAACTTTAATTGAGTAAAGGTTATGTAAAAACATTTATTACTATGTTCTTACCACTTATATTACACACGTTTTATTTCTATTTATTTCATTTGTAATACATATTAATTAGCCTAGAAGGAGATGCTAATGTGACAATTCTACGTCGAACTAACAAATGGCAGTCGTGTTTGAGTGGCCGTTATAGACATAGTTTTCAATACTATTACTTTCGTCCTATTTATATTATTTATAACTTAACTTGTTTTATTCAACGACCCGTCTATCGCCAATTGTAATCATAGCCAACCAACTCCATCTCACTTGAATATACCTACTATCCAACTGTACTAGGATTTAGGTCAGACGTATTATAACATCACATATAACTTATATTTACTGAATATCCAAAATATTACTTTACTTTGTTGTTGACATAAAACAATAGTCTAATTTTATTTAATAATCTATCCCCTGTAACTAAAGTACACGATTGCCTGTGTCTCCTTCAGGTAATTAAAACTCATTTAAGGAGATAGGAACGATATTTGGGCAGACGTTGGATAGCTTCCGATTCTTGGTTTTGATCAAGATCCTCAACTATTAAACAAGCCCCTAACATATAGTGGAGGCGCCGGTCTTTGTATTTTAATCGAGTTCCGAAATATACTTTCTATTTTTTAAGGAACTCAAGTGTACACGAGTTACAGTTAGATTATTTAAGTAAAATTTTTTATTATTAATATCATAATTTGTTCTGGAATGTCAATTGCTGTTTGGGCGTAATAATAATTTCTATCATTTTGGTTTTGTTAATAAGTGTATAATTTATAAAAATTTGCAACATTTTATCGAACCGTTATCATATTAGGGAGATGTGGAAACAGATATAGATACTATATGATATATAAAACTTTCTATGTTACCCTTATATCTACAGGATTATGCACTTAAAATATTTGAATTTATAGTATATTGATCGACAAATTTAACTTGAGAAGATGTTAAACTGTCATTAATTAATTTTAACTCTTACAATAATCTAAATTAAAAAAAAAAATTTAATAATGAATTAACTACTATTCATGACATATTTATTGTCAATCCTGTGTACCTAATTTTCCTTTACTATAGATCGTTATCATTCAATCATCATCATAATTTTTTACGGATTCATAAATAAGAATAATTTTTTTTATTGCCGTATTATCAAAATGTACTAAAATGATTTATATTAAAGTAGCTAGATAAGTGAAAAAATTACTTGTTATAATACAAATAACATGTATTTTATAGATAAATAATGATGTCATTACAATAATTGTAGAAACATATCTTTTTTACATTACTTAATGAAAAAAAATTTATGTTTAACTAAATGAATATTTAAACATTTTTTCACTTTGTTCAACAATTTGTTGAATTATAAATTTTTTTTATACATTTTATCTCAATTTATATTTAATAAATAATATAGTTTGTTATAAATTTTTCTGTAATTTAAAATAGAAATTGTTCCTTTTTGTAGATTAAATTATTTTAAATAATGATGATTTAAAAATCTTAAATTTTCTAATTTATTTATTTGGAAAAAATAGTTTAGGTAAAGTTGTTAATGAATTTTTTATAGTTATTTCCATAAAAATAATGCAATATCCTACTGCAGTTAGAAATCAGTCATAAAAGACACACGTTATTATAAGAACTAATAATAACTATTATTAGAGTAACAGTGTTATTTTACTCTCTTCAGATAATTAGAAAACAAATTATAATAAAAATAATGGGTTGAAGGTGGATGTATTTACCCACTTCCACCCAACAAATAATCTAAACATACACCTCTGCCTCTGGCTTAGCATAACAAATATTAAAAATAATTATTTTTATTTGATGTGTCTTTTAAATTCCCGTATTATTATACAATACGTAGATAATAATATTAAATTAAGATTAAGACCAAAAATTGGTTTTTAAATAGAATGACAATATAATTTAGCTTATGCGTGAAAAAAATCTAAATATGTTACTGTATTTAACTATGTAATACAACATAAACATTTTTACAGTTAATAACATTTATGTAAAAATGGCAATTTAAATGGAGGCCCCGCTAGCCTCGGCCCTAAGACATCCCTAGTAATGCCGAAATATAAAAAAACATACTATCAGAAAAAATTATTGTAAAAATTAATTCTTACGAACAAAAAAATTACTGAAAAGAACATAACAGACTATTTTTATCTTATAAAAAAAATACGGAGGATGTCATTTGATTAATCACATATAAACAGAACTCGTACACACCTGTTTAATGTTTAATAAGTAAAATTAAATCATTCATTCATTTGTTGTTTTAGCTTCGATGCGAAGCTGAGAAGGTATTGGTTTTACTAAGATGTGTTTTTTTTTGTCTGTTTGTATACGCTCAATCTCAGCTCTCGCTGGACCGATTTTGATGAAAAATATGTCCAAAGATCACAAATTGTATCTAGTCGAAGACATTACCCTTAAAATTAAAAAAAAAATCCCTCGTTCCCCGTAAATGGGGGAAACCTCCGAAAAAATTACAAATTTAAAAATGGCTAATTTTAGAAATTTTTTCAATTTTTTTTACTAAAAACTGCCGTATCTTTTTTAAAAATAAACATATCAATATAATTCTTTTTTTTATAAATGCATGATGTTATTACCTATCATTTGATATATTTTTTTTATAAATCTGACTTTTTACCTGCCCACAGGAGGTGATTTAAAATGACAACTTTTTTACAAAAAATTAATTTTTTCAACTTAACTTTTGAAAGTGTTCCAGAAGGTCTCACACTTTTATATATATCTTAAATTAAAGCTAATGTAATATACTTTATAATGGTAAAAAAAAATTTCGGACTTTATTTTATCTTCATGGTGAAAACAGACATTAAACTTAATAAAAGAAATACGATTTTTGTAAAAAAATTCTTTTTTATAATTTTACTTTATATTGTTATAACTTTTTGAAAGATGTATGGATCAATATAATGCTTTTTTTGTAGATGCATGATGTCTTTACCTATCATTTGGTATATTTTTTTTATAAATCTGACTTTTTACCTGCCTACAGGGGGGGATTCAAAATGACAACTTTTTCACAAAAAATTGACTTTTTCAACTTAAATTTTGAAAGTTTTCCGGAAAGTCTGACACTTTTATATACATCTTAAATTAAAGCTAATGTAATATACTTAATCATGGAAAAAAAAAATTTCGGACTTTATTTTATCTTCACGGTGAAAATGGCTACCAAATGCTATTATTGTGTGAAAATTCTCAATTTTATTTTTTACATTTTTAACTTTATAATGCTATAACTTATTGAAAAGTGTATTGATCAATATAATTTTTTTATGGGAAATACTATTTTTTAATAATCCCTATTTCATTCGACATACTTTATCTTAATCAGGATATTAATAAGGAACTAGCAGTTTATGAAGCTTTTGGAATAATACACCAATTTTTTAAAATTAAACACTATCTAAAGATTTGCATCGAAGCGTTTTTTTTTTATAGTGATTTTAATCACTGTCAGATATCATTATACTTGATCCCACTATGCCACGTCACCACTGTGCCGCGACCCCCCTATGCTGGGTTTTTTTTTATTAAGTCAATTTTTGTGAATCACTAAAAATAATTTTAAGTATCATTTTCGCCAATGAGATATTTCATGCTCGTCAACAATAAAATATCAGTTGTATAATACCTATTTATATTAGTTCTAAATATGTATAATTCATCGACAATAATTGTTAATAATGCAAATAGCGTTCAAAAATGGAATCATTATTTAGACCTATGTATTCATCACCTGCTTACTTAAACGACATTTATCGCCACGGATTTATTTTATATAAATTTAGAACTCATTAATTTATACAACTGTTTATAATTTTGGAATTCAGTATAACTAAAATTATTGGGACTGAAACCTTGACACTTATATTTATAGATTTTGGTTTTTAAAATTCTTTAGGGTATATTTGTGTTCTGGTAGAGTTTTCGGTTTTTCCATTTTTAAGAGTTCCAGTTTTTGGACTAGATTTTTGATTCGGTCCTGATCCCTGATTGAAACATTCATAGTTTTTATGAATATCATTAATAATTTGTTTGAATTAATAAAATTACATGTTTTAAAAACGTAAATTGAAAATTTACGAATTAGTTTAAATACTCAAATTTATTATTTTCATATTCGCAGATTTTAAAGTATACATTGGATTAAAAATAAAAAGTTATATAGGAATGCAAAGAAAATATGTTTATATATTAATCAAAAAAAGTGAAAACAAATTTACAAAAAATTTATACTTATAATTAATATTACTTTATTAGTAATAATATTAAGCACACATTGAAATTTAAAATAATAGTAGAATGAATAACAATTCATTACAACTGAATAAACAATTCATTCTAGTCAATATAAAACTATTTAAAACTCTTTAACACAACTAAATACATTAGACTCTTCTCTAGATTTTTTTTTTTTGCATTTTACACTGCACATTTCTTCTTTCAAAAAATCATAATGGTAAGTGGAATATTCTATAAATTATAATATTTAAATTTGAATATTTTATTATTTTAATTAAAATTTTTGATTTTTCAGAAATTATTTTCTTTAGTCTTTTTTTCAACTGTTGTATTTATGGTTATCCATAATGGTAAAAAATTCATAATTTTTATACAGAATGATTCTTTTGTCATTGACAACTGAATTAATCGAAAAATAAAATTAATATTAAGAATTTTACTTTCGATTTCTTTTATTTCTATATTTATCCATCATGTAGTATTTTTCATGTTTATCTCCTATACATTATAAGGGTATTAACTTTATTTTTTTCAAATATTAGCATACATATTTAGCAAGTTAATAAAATAGTAAATGAACTAATTAAAAAAATAACTCGTTGATAATAACTATTGGACCAGTGTTTCGGTATTTATTAATGATATTAAGTAATTGCTGGAGGTGAGGTTCAGGTTTTGTTATATTCATCACTAGTTATATAAGGCAGCGCTTTATATGGCCTAGGTTCTTACATAGGTATAATAATAGTATACTTATCATAAAAATATCTGAAATTCTAGTCTAAAAGTTGTGTATCGACCTATTATTTTCTTAATTAGACCATTACTTAATAAATTAACTAGTTAAATATATATATAGTGTAGTCCACGATGGTTTTACAAATCTTAAGTAATTATTAAGTCTAATTTATGCATTTTTAAGGTATGTTTAAATGTGTGCATATCTGAAGACGCGCTCTCGCACGATGCAATTCAAATTTTTGCCATGTGATTAATTTTTTAGTCGCGCGATCTAATATAAATTGCTATTCACTACGCCAGACCGCGGTACATAATAATTTTTTTTTTTCATACAAAATCGTTTTCAACTTCTTATTTAAGGATTCTGCAAGTATTACTTAGGTAATAAACATGTGTAGTTATATATTTTATTTTTCAAACATACATTTAAGTAAAAACAAAACTTATTACTAAATTAATATTTAACAATAGCCACATTACACATTAGTAATTAAGACTAATTTATGCATTCTTAAGGTGTGATTCCTATGTGCACGTCTAAAAAAGTACTTTCGCACGGCACGATTTTAATTTTTTTCTTTCCAGAAACTTTTAGTTATGTTTTTTAAACCCATATCATATTCGAATCGATTTATAATTTTTTTTGTATCGTTTTATGGTCTTAAACACACATGGTTTGCTGAAAAAAGCCAACTTTATCATCTCATTACACAAAAGTGACTGAACGAATTTTTTTCAAATTTAAATAGTACTTACCTTTAAGCAATTAAATCGTCTGGTGAAAATAAATTGATAAATACATAAAGTAATAAATTTTGTTTTTTTTTTCTTAAAGGCATGTTACAAAAATAAAATGTAGAACTATAAACGTTTCTGGGTTAATCCATGTGAAATCACCTAATGTGTGTGCTGGTATAGTTCAGAAATTTATATCATAGACTTCTTAAAGGTCATTGACAACAAAAATAATATCCTTTTTTTAGCTTCGATGCGAAGCTGAGAAGGTATTGGTTTTACTATGATGTGTTTATTTTTTTTTTTTTTTTTTGTGTCTGTTACCACTTTTTCTCAGCTCTCACCGAACGGATTTCTTTCAACGATACGTCAAAAGATCACAAATCGTATCTAGTCGAAGACATTACCCTTCAAAATTGAAAAAATTTCCCTCGTTCCCCGTAAATGGGGGAAACCTCCAAAAAAATTACAAATTTAAAAATCGCTAATTTTCGAAATTTTTTCAATTTTTTTTACTAAAAACTGCCGTAACTTTTTCAAAAATGAACATATCAATATAATTTTTTTTTATATAGATGCTTGATGTCTTTACCTATCATTTGATATATTTTTTTTGTAAATTTGACCCTTTATCTGCCCACAGGGGGGGATTTAAAATGACAACTTTTTCACAAAAAATTAACTTTTTCAACTTAACTTTTGAAAATGTTCCGGAAGGTCTGACACTTTTATATATATCTTAAATTAAAGCTAATGTAATATACTTTAATTTGAAAAAAAAAAATTTGACCTCTGGACTTTTCTTCACGGCGAAAATGGCTACCGAATGCTATTTTCGTGTGAAAATTCTCGATTTTATTATTCATATTATATTTAACTTTATAATGCTATAACTTATTGAAAAGTTTATGGATCCACACAATTTTTTTATGAGAAATAATATTTTTTAATAAACCCTTTTTCATTCGACATACTTTATCTTAATCGAGATATTAAGGAACCAGCAGATCAAGTAGCTTTTGGAATAAAACACCAATTTTTTTAAAATTAAACACTATCTAAAGATTTGCATCGAAGCGTTTATTTTTGATAGTGATTTTAATCACTGTCAGATATCATTATACTTGATCTAACTATACCACGTCTCAACTGTGCCGCGACCCCCCTGTGCTGGGTTTTAGCTTCGATGCGAAGCTGAGAAGGTATTGGTTTTACTTTGTGTTTTTTTTTTTTTTTTTTCAATTGTTTTTTTACCAGATAGCCCATTTTTTATAATTAAAAACATGAAAAAATACCCTATGTTCTAGATCCTATAACTTCATATCCATATAAGCTATCACAGTGGAACTAGCACTGTTTTAGTCATATTGAATAGTAGTTCAATTTCATTCATAAGTTTATGAATGTTGAATTTTTTTTTTACATCCCAATATAGATTTTAATTTTTTTAATTTTGTAGTATTTTAATAGCAAAAATTTAAGGTCAATACATTTTTTAATAAATTTTTTTTTTTTTTTTAATTATAAATTTTGAAACTCTATAAGTGATAGAGTTTATAGCACAGTGATAGCTTATTTGGATGTGAAGTGTTAGGCTCTAGAACATAGGGTGTTTTTTCACGTCTTTAATTATAAAAAATGTGCTATCTGGTAAAAAAACAATAAATAAAAAAATATATGATATAAATTTCAAAAATTTCTGAACTATACCAGCACACACCTTAGGTGATTACACATGGAATGACCCATAAACGTTTATAGTTCTACATTTTATTTTTGTAACATGCCTTTAAGAAAAAAAAACAAAATTTATTACTAAATTTAATTATATTGGAAAATTAGAAGATGAATGATTATATCTTCTTCAGGAAAGAACGGACATTGACATTTAAAGGGTGACATATTGAAATAAAATTTAAACTAAACTTAAATATTCATCTGACACCACGCGACCGCGTTTATGACGTCTTCTAGGAGTAAATCATCTTGTTCAGCCACCACCAGACGTAATTGTTGTATACCATCATAACTATCAAAAGAATTAATTTAATTGAATGCTATGCAAACCAGTACAGGCAAAATTCGAATCGCGCGGCGTGGGAGCGAGTCACCAGATACGTATAGGAATACAACATTTTTTTTCAGCATTTTTAAGTGCACTGAAAAAAAACCTTAATAAAATCAACAAATCTATTATTTATATAAGCCGACAATAATTTTTTGTTGGCCTAACAAAAATTTTTGTTAGTACAACAAAATATTGATCCAGCTAACAAATATTTTGTTCCACTGACGAAAATATGATTGATTTCACAATAAAAATATTGTTGACCGAATTTTTTTTCAGTGTAGCCGTTTTTTAGAACTTTTTTTAAAATTTCATTGGGTTGATAACATTTTTTAAGAAAAGGACTTATTGAGTTATAAGCATGCGTTATAATTTGATTGTCTCGTTCAAATCCTTATTGAACTCAAGTATTCCATTTGATTTTCATGAATAGCCTATCTAAATATAGCACGTTGTCTCGTTGAATATTATGTTACAATTTTTAGTTAATAATTTATAAATCTGACTATATGATAAAAAAAATAGTAGCAATTTTAAAATTTTGAAAATANTGATAAAAAAAATAGTAGCAATTTTAAAATTTTGAAAATATCCTGATTTTTACTATTTTCAACGGCTTCCTAATTTTGAGATAATTTGTTAATTTCTAGTTTTAATGGAATTTCTTCCATTTTTTGTTACTGTTTAACTAGATTAATATCAGATTCAAGGTGTATAGAAAATTTTTTTTTCTTTAATATTAAAAACAAATAATACAAATATTATTTATCGTAGTTTATGAGTGCATTAATTTAAAAATAAAAGCCTTATTATTTAATACATCAAAAATTTATAGATTTGTAAAACGTCGTTGACTAAATTATACTTTTATGCATAATATACATTTTGTATAATTTGGAGTGGACAACCGGAAAATCCCAATTATGGAGATAGGAAATTTTAGTTTTTGACTTCGCGATATTTTGGTCCTACTGAATATCACCTTACTACTCTTGACATTGATTAAATAACCTGCATGTGTAATAAACATTTAAAAATTTCATTTACAATAGAATCACATTTTATAAAGTATTATAGTAAAATATGTAATATTAAAATTAATAATAATATAGCATGGTTGTTTCTTTTAAAAGCAATTGTTTTGTCTAATTATTTATTATATTATACCAATATAGACCAAATGTATATACAGGGTGGCCCACCACTCACTGACAACTTCAATAACTTTTAATCCAGTTAATATTTTTAGTTGATTTTTTTTTTTAATAATAGTTATACGTTAGGTCTATAGCTATATCTCAATTATTAATTTTTTTACATTTTATTAAAAATATAAATTATTTTTAAATTTTAAATAAAATGTAAAAAAAAAATCTAAGATAGCTATTTTGTAGAATAGAATTTAAGAAAAATTTTAGTAAAAAAATATCTTATTAATATTCAGTAGTAAATATTCTGTAGCGTTTTGAAGTTTGTGAAAATTTGAATTTTCATGTACTATTTTACGGTATTAAACATTGAAATACGTATTGAGAAAAGGACAGAAGAAAACGCTATCTTTTCATGATTACTGTGTATACATATGATGATAGTGTGTATACATTACAAACTTGGCATTAATACCATGATAAGAAATTAGATAAGGCAATTATTACTTATCACTCTCATTCAAAAGTATATTGAAAAGATAGCGTTTTCTTCTGTCCTTTTCTCAATACGTATTTCAATGTTTAATACCGTAAAATAGTACATGAAAATTCAAATTTTCACAAACTTCAAAACGCTACAGAATATTTACTACTGAATATTAATAAGATATTTTTTTACTAAAATTTTTCTTAAATTCTACTCTACAAAATAGCTATCTTAGATTTTTTTTTTACATTTTATTTAAAATTTAAAAATAATTAATATTTTTAATAAAATGTAAAAAAATTAATAATTGAGATATAGCTATAGACCTAACGTATAACTATTATTTAAAAAAAAAATCAACTGAAAATATTAACTGGATTAAAAGTTATTTAAGCTGTCAGTGAGGGGTGGGCCACCCTGTATATAAATGTNGTGAGGGGTGGGCCACCCTGTATATAAATGTATAAATAACAAAATTACAACTATTTTTGAAAGAGTATGACTAGCATTACAAAATTACTTATATATTAAAGTTTTAAAATTGTCGACTAAAACTTTAGGAGTTAATTGTTTTTAATAGATGTCTATATTTTTCTAGATCATTACATGTCGATGAGTAAAGCCACGTCAAGTAAGTTGAATGTATCTTAAAAGGCAAATAATAAAAGAAACTTTGTATTATTACACAATTTAATTGGATATAAAAAAACAGTCACAATTTAAAAATTAAATTTTTTACAGAATTATGATTCAAACAATTATTCAAACTATGTAATATCCACTATAACCACCTTATATTTCTCTCGTTGTGTTTATATTATTTTGGATTAGTCTAAGTTTGCAAGTACCTAAATTTATTTTATAGGCTTTTATTTTATATCCGGTCAAATTTGACTAACAAGGTAATATAGTTCATTCAAAAGAAACCTCGCAGTAACCTGATACCTCTTGGAGATAAACCGGATATGTATTAAAAAATATTCTGTTTAGACACCAATAAATGGGCCAATAAATTGTTGAAAGGAAAGACTTCAAAATTATATTAAATTACTGTTTAAACAAAAGTATTAGAACAAAATCATTCAGTAAAAGTAAAATAGACAACTACTATGAAAATAGAATATAGCCTGAGATTATAATATAAGACGATTGAACGACAATGACATGAATACAACCAACAGTGACTTAAAAATAAAAATTCATAAAGCAGCCTATTTTATAATACTGTATCAACATGAACTAAAAATGTTTTACTTAACAATAAAATAAATGATTACACTAAATTTTAAATTTTAATTTAAATTTCAACCAAACAGTTTTTGAATTCTAATAACATTCACTCTTACAACATAATATCTCCCCGGAGTAATTTTATTTTTTCCAGATTTATCAAAGTTATACGTTTTTATAAGCAAATATTCTGTCTAGATGTTTACTATCCTAAAAACAAAATAACTCATATTTATTTAATAAAATTAAAACTTTCTTTTTAATGAATATAATGATACAGTACAAAATAATTTACATTTTTTAACGACTAAATGTATTATTATTTAACATAATATAAGTTAATTATTTTTATTACATGAATGTATTATTTTAGTTAAGAACAAATCGAAGGAGAAGGTCATATTAGGTAAGTAGTACATATATCGTAAATTCACTTAAAACAACTTTCTATAATTAAAAAATTAAATTAGGTATAAAAAATTAAACGTAATTTTTAAATATAATTTTCCACTAAAATATAATTTTAATTGAATAAAGATTTTCATTTTTTTTATTTTTGACGACTTCCTAATTTTGAGATACTTTCTTAATTAGCTCCCTTGGTGTGTTTTTAAATAAAAACACACCAATAAAAATCATTTACATTTTTCTTACATGTATATAATTATCTTGAAGAGGAAACATCGATGGAGAATGTCACGTTAGGTAAGTTGAATCTATTTTACATTCACATAATAATTTAATACTAAAACAAACATTGTATAATTACAAAATTTATTAGGTATAAAATATCAATCATAAAATAAAATTTTCTACGGAAATATGATTCACAAGTTTTTTAAATTTAGTAATATCCACTCTAATAATGTTAGATCTCCTTGTTATGTTTTTATTACATAAGAATTCATTAAAGTTTTGTAAACACCGATTATTTGTTAATAAACTAAAATTTATTTTCAGTTGACATTATTTTTCAAAGATGAATTTTAATAAAATTAATTTCAATTGTAAAATGAAGTAAAATATTTTTTTTTCCAATTTATGACGGCTTCCTAAATTTAAAGTACTTTTTTTTAATTTCTCATATTGAGTGATTTTCTTTCAATTTTTGTCACTGTTATTTTTAAATAAATAAACATTATATTCTTTTAACGTATAGATAATTAAATCACTCTTTTCATTTATGCTTCGAATTTTTAAATATAAATATTCATAAATTTTTTTATTATTAAAAACAAATGATAGAAATATTAATTAATTGTAGTCTGTGAATGAATTAATTAAACTAACTATATATTATAATTATTTTTATTACATGTGTATACTTTTCTAGAAGATTTTTTGAAGGGTAAGTTAAATGTGTCGTATCTTCACATAACAGCCTATTTTATAGTACTGTATCAACATGAACTACATATGTATTAATAATCAATAAAATGAATCCTTATATTAAATTTTCATTTTCATTTCAACAAAACAATTTTTGAAATTCTAGTATCACCTCTTTAACAACATTAGCTCCCTTGGTGTGTTTTTAAATAAAAACACACCAATAAAAATCATTTACATTTTTCTTACATGTATATAATTATCTTGAAGAGGAAACATCGATGGAGAATGTCACGTTAGGTAAGTTGAATCTATTTTACATTCACATAATAATTTAATACTAAAACAAACATTGTATAATTACAAAATTTATTAGGTATAAAATATCAATCATAAAATAAAATTTTCTACGGAAATATGATTCACAAGTTTTTTAAATTTAGTAATATCCACTCTAATAATGTTAGATCTCCTTGTTATGTTTTTATTACATAAGAATTCATTAAAGTTTTGTAAACACCGATTATTTGTTAATAAACTAAAATTTATTTTCAGTTGACATTATTTTTCAAAGATGACTTTTAATAAAATTAATTTCAATTGTAAAATAAAGTAAAATATTTTATTTTTCTAATTTTTGACGGCTTCCTAAATTTAAAGTACTTTTTTTAAATTTCTCATATTGAGTGATTTTCTTTCAATTTTTGTCACTGGTATTTTTAAATAAATAAACATTAGCTTCTTTTAACGTATAGATCATTAAATCACTCTTTTCATTTATGCTTCGAATATTTAAATATAAATATTGATAAATTTTTTTATTATTAAAAACTAATGATAGAAATATGAATTAATTGTAGTCTGTGAATAAATTAATTAAACTAACTATATATTATAATTATTTTTATTACATGTGTATACTTTTCTAGAAGATTTTTTGAAGGGTAAGTTAAACGTGTCGTATCTTCACATAACAGCCTATTTTATAGTACTGTATCAACATGAAGTACATATGTATTAATAATCAATAAAATGAATCCTTATATTAAATTTTCATTTTCATTTCAACAAAATGATTTTTGAAATTATAGTATCACCTATTTAACAACATTAGCTCTCTTGGTGTGTTTTTAAATAAAAACACACCAATAAAAATCATTTACATTTTTCTTACATGTATATAATTATCTTGAAGAGGAAACATCGATGGAGAATGTCACGTTAGGTAAGTTGAATCTATTTTACATTCACATAATAATTTAATACTAAAACAAACATTGTATAATTACAAAATTTATTAGGTATAAAATATCAATCATAAAATAAAATTTTTACGGAAATATGATTCACAAGTTTTTTAAATTTAGTAATATCCACTCTAATAATGTTAGATCTCCTTGTTATGTTTTTATTACATAAGAATTCATTAAAGTTTTGTAAACACCGATTATTTGTTAATAAACTAAAATTTATTTTCAGTTGACATTATTTTTCAAAGATGACTTTTAATAAAATTAATTTCAATTGTAAAATGAAGTAAAATATTTTATCTTTCCAATTTTTGACGGCTTCCTAAATTTAAAGTACTGTTTTTAGCTTCGATGCAAATCTGAGAAGGTATTAATTTTACTATGATGTTTTTTTTTCTTTTTTTTTTGTGTCTGTGAACGCTCAATCTTAGCTCTCGCTAGACTGATTTTGATGAACAATATGTCAAAAGATCGAAAATCGTATCTAGTCGAAGACATTACTCTCAAAAATTGAAAAAAATTCCCTCGTTCCTCGTAAACGGGGGAAATCCCCCAAAATATTACAAATTAAAATAACGCTAATTTTCGAAATTTTTTCAATTTTTTTTACTAAAAACTGCCGTAACTTTTTCAAAAATAAACATATTAATATAATTTTTTTTTTTTTATAAATACCTTAGATATTTACCTATCATTTTATGTATTTTTGTGAACATTTGACCCTTTAACAGCCCATAGGAAGAGTTTCAAAATGGTAACTTTTTCAACTTAACTTTTGAAAATGTTCCGGAAAGACTAACACTTTTATATATATATCTTAAATTAAAGCTAATGTAATATTCTTTAATTTGAAAAAAAAAATTTGACTTCTGAACTTGTCTTCATGGTGAAAATGACTACCGTATGCAAAATATGCTATTTTTTTGAAAAAATTCTTGATATTATATTTTACATATTTTAACATTATGTTGCTATAACTTTTTAAAAAATGGATGAATCAATTCTCTTTTTTAATAATAAATACTTTATATATACTTCATTTGACATTACATTTCATTTGACATACTTTTTTTTTAAATCGGACCTGTTCCCTTTATACAGGAGGGGTGCAAACCTTTTAAAATGCGTATAGAAAGTAAAACATTTTTAACTTAACTTTTGAAAATGTTCCGTAAAGACTGACACTTTTATATATATCTTAAATTAAAGCTTATGTAATATACTTTAATTTGAAAAAAAAATTTGACCTTTGGATAATATAAATATTCATATATTTTTTATTATTAAAAACAAATAATAGAAATATGAATTAATTGTAGTCTGTGAATGAATTAATTAAACTAACTATATATTATAATTATTTTTATTACATGTGTATACTTTTCTAGAAGATTTTTTGAAGGGTAAGTTAAACGTGTCTTATCTTCACATAACAGCCTATTTTATAGTACTGTATCAACATGAACTACATATGTATTAATAATCAATAAAATGAATCCTTATATTAAATTTTCATTTTCATTTCAACAAAACAATTTTTGAAATTCTAGTATCACCTCTTTAACAACATTATCTCCCTTGCTGTGTTTTTATTACTTACAAATTTATCAGTTTTACATTTTTATAAGCAATTATTGTGTCTAGTTATTAATAGTCCGAAAACAATATAAACCAAATTAAAACTTATTTTTAAGAGTAATACAGTAAAAAATGATTCACATTTTTCTTACATGTATATAATTATCTAGATAAAGACACATCGATGGAGAATGTCACGTTACGTAAGTTGAATCTATTTTACATTCACATAATAATTTAATAATAAAAAAAACATTGTATAATTACAATATTTAATTAGGTATAAAAAATAAATCATAAAATAAAATTTTCTACTGAAATATGATTCAAAATTGTTTTTAAATTTAGTAGTATCCGCTCTAACAACGTTATATCTCCTTGTTATGTTTTTATTACATAAGAATTCATTAAAGTTTTGTAAACACCGATTATTTGTTAATAAACTAAAATTCATTCTCAGTTGACATTATTTTTCAAAGATGACTTTTAATAAAATTAATTTCAATTGTAAAATGAAGTGAAATATTTTATTTTTCTAATTTTTGACGGCTTCCTAAATTTAAAGTACTTTTTTTAAATTTCTCATATTGAGTGATTTTCTTTCAATTTTTGTCACTGGTATTTTTAAATAAATAAACATTAGCTTCTTTTAACGTATAGATCATNTTTAAATAAATAAACAATAGCTTCTTTTAACGTATAGATCACTAAATCATTCTTTTCATTTATGTTTCGAAGTTTTAAATATAAATTTTCATAAATTTTTTTTATTATTAAAAACAAAGGATTTTATTATAGTTTATGAATGAATTAATTATACTAACTATATATTATAATTATTTTTATTACATGTGTATACTTTTCTAGAAGATTTATTAAAGGGTAAGTTAAATGTGTCGTATCTTCACATAACAGCCTATTTTATAATACTGTATCAACATGAACTACATATGTATTAATAATCAATAAAATGAATCCTTATATTAAATTTTCATTTTCATTTCAACAATACAATATTGAAATTTTTTGTTATCTCTCTTGATGTTTTTTTAATGCTTACGAATTTATCAGTTTTACGTTTTTATAAGCAATTATTGTGTCTAGTTTTTAATATTCCAAAAACAATATATACCAAATTTATTTATCAAAATTAAAAATTTTTAAAGAGCATAAAGATACAGTAAAAAATTATTTACATTTTTATTACATGTATATGTTTTTCTAGAAGAGAACACATCAATGGACAGAGCTCAGGTAAGTTGAATAAATTTTATATTCAAATAAAAGTAGAATATTAAAAAAAACATTGTATAATTATAAAATTTAATTAGGTATAAAAATCAATCATAACTTTAAAATAAAATTTTCTACTGAAATATGATACAAAATTTTTTTTAAATTTAGTAATATCCACTCTAATAATGTTATATTAGAGAAACTGGATAAGCTTAAATTGTTTTTCTACCTTACTTTTTAATAAAAATCATACGGAATCATATTTAACTACTGGACTCTTGAAAATCAATCCTCTAGACTTGTGCACAACCTTTTACAACTAGTCTAGCATTACACCTGTCGATTTAACAATTTGCCTGGTACTTAATACGGTAAATCTATCAGCAATTACTATTTTGTTCACTGGTAAATTAACTAATTTCCAATTATTATTATTTTTTCAACGATGACATTTCTTCGTCCATTAATTTTCTGAACTTTCCTTTGACTTTATTATTATGACATTAGATCTCAAATAAAATAAAATATTCTGTACTTGAGTGTTTTTTTTTGTATTTTATCTATTTTTCAGTTTTTTTTTGTATATTTTTCGTATTTCTTCTATTAATTGGTTTTCTCCATCAATATCACTTTGTTTTCAAAAACTTTTTTCATCAAAATTATGTTCCTCTTAAATATTTTATTTGGCATCGATTTATATTTCAGTAAACTTCTTGTTTGGTAATTCTATCTTCTTTAAACACTATGTCTCTTCTAACGGATACTTATCTGTAATGATATCATTTAAGATAACCTTTTTTCTCGTTGAAGCATCCAACACATATACCATATATGCCCGTTTTATCCCACTTTCGTCATTTCTCCTTTGTACATTATCTTCACTGCCAAATATTTTAAAATTGTTGAATAGTAGAGTTTTATTGAACCATTATTTGTAAGGCGTTTTACCCTCAAGGATCGTTTTACCTGTGTGTTTTAATACTTACACTACTGTATTAATCTCTTCAGTCCTCAAAAATTTGGCAAATTTTTTCTAGAAATTAATGTTCTCGCTGCTTTAACTATACTGTATATATCCGCTCAATTGAATTTTGTATATTTGAAAGAATTGATAACGAAATTCACAAATATATATTCTTTTTTTATAGGTTTTATAGGAAATATTAAGTTAATATCATTTTTTTGAACACTTATAGATATTCTAAAACATTGACTACTTAACACAATCTTGAATTTTTTTAAAAAGTAATTATCAAAATGTGATTTATGTTTCGTTATAGATAATATGTGAACATCAGGTAATTATAAATGTCAAATTGGTCATTAACCTAACTTTATACCATTTGAAGTATCCAAAAAAAAAATTTGGTATTATGAACATAAACATTATTTATATATGAATATAAAAATATTCAATTACGCATGTCAACATACTTCTCATAAAATACTACTGAAATCAACATTTCTTATTGATTTTAATGGTTCTTAGAATACAAATATTTGAAATTCGAATTTTTACCTCCATAAGTTGATGTACTACATATAAAAAAAACCTGATTACATTTAACACTTGTATGAAAAGATTAAAACGTGCCTCTAAACCATTAAAATTGAGTAAATTTTTTATTAAAAAAAAAAAAAAAACTGAACTTTTGCCTTTAATTTCTGTTATGTTTGACTTTTAGTTTCAGTTGTTCAACCTACAAAGATAAAATGTTATACGAATTTTAAAAATTTCAAAATATAATAATCAGTGGTTGAATAAATCTCTTCTGGACTTTGCATCGAACCTAAAATGAATTAATAAATATATTACCTATTGATTTTACCATGTAAAATTTAATAATTCAATCTAAAATAACATTATAATACATTAATTTAATTTGAATTGTTATGTTTCTGTGGCAGATTCATAGTTTTCTCAAGGAACACCACGAGTAGGAAAAGGAAATTAAATATTCACATAATATATCAAATATATTTTTATAAAATTTATTAAAAATAAATAACACCACTATTAAGTACATAAATATTTAATCATCAAAAACTTAAGTTTATGTTTATTTAAACTCACTTAAATAAATTAAACATTAGAGCAAAATTATTTGTTCCCAATATTAAAAAAAATAAACACACGGATATTAATTGTAAAAATGCCTACTATCATAAATTTTATATACATAATTACACATTAACTATATCTTTTTTTAATTGCCTTCTTTTAAATCATTTAAAATAAAAAACAATAATGTAACATAAAAGTTTACAACTTTCAGTAATCTTATTATATCCAGAGCGTACATTTAAAACAAGTATTGGACACTTCAGTATTGAAGATTAATATTTGAACTGTTCATTAAGTTTTTTAGCTTAATAAGGTTATTAGTTATGACTTTACCGTTTTACCTAAAATATAGCCATTAATAATTGAAAACTATTTTATTTAAATAACTAAAAAAAAAAATTGAAAAACAAAATTATAACAACACAAAAAACAGTGGTTTTTTACAACAAAATAACATTTTTTATTTATATATTGAATATATAATTATCGTAAGTGTGGGAACGAATTTTTTTTTAACTTATATGTAATTTAAAAAAATATATACTATATAACATACTATAGTATCTTACAGTTCAATAATACGGTCGAACCATGTCTTATGTTAATAGTTATTTTAATACCTTATTATTTTTAACTCTGAGAAAATGGCCCCGAGAAAATAAAAGATATCTATTCGTAATAATTCACTTATGCTCTGGAATACCCCAAATATATTAAGTCGCAAAGAATTAGAAATTTTAACAACACAGTGCACATTTAAAACTTAATTATTTTTAGTTTTTTAATTAATATATTAACAAAAAAAAAAAATTAGGGGTAGTATTCTTAATAAATTACATTGCCTAATAGGAAAAGTAAATAAATAAAAATGCTTTGTTACGGACAGTTATTCGTCCTTCACCAACATTAACAATTAACAACTATATTAGTGCCTGATCAGCACAAACGACCCTCAACTCAACTATGAGTATGCGGCGTACGGGTGTAAACAAACCGATTACACACTGTTCTTAAATTAATTACAACAATAATGAAGTCAGTTGACATTTTACCACGCAACTTACCTTTATTGATCTGATAACTTAACTCGCACAGTATTATTGCGATTACTAAATTAAATACTATTATTATTACTTATTATTATTATTATTTCGGGTTGTGATCACTCGCCGCCGTCGCTCTCCTAAATTGAATATCACCAACATCTCTAAACATCTAGTCAGGTTATATTTAATTAATATTAAATAGAAATAAACGCTTGTTATCGTTGTAACGCGTAAACCAATAATAAAAATACATTGTATGTGTTGTTATATAACAACACATACAATTTAAAAAAAAATGTCTGGAGGGCAATGGTAAATTTTGAGAAGTTTAAAGTTTTTCAGTTCCTTTTAAATATGACCCTATATTCAAAATAAACAACTGAAATGTATTTTTATTTTTAAAGGGCTCAAAATTCAATAATGTCAAAGTGGCGATAAAAAAAGTTAAAAAGAGAATTTCATAACTTATTGAGTTTATAATATATAAACTTTAAAGGAAATTTATGGTGGATTCAATAATTATCAATTTTTTAATAAATAACATGTTATATATTTCAGTAAATTTTAATATTTCAATTAATGAAAAATAAATATTATATTTATTTCATTAAGTAAATATGAAAGAAAAACAACGTATTATCAATACTACTATATATAATAATAGTTTATACAACTATATTAATTTTTTTTATATTTTTTTTAACTATAAAATAATATGTTTATAATATAAAATTAATATCCTAAAGTGTACAAGTAAAAAAACATTAAAACAATTAGAATTAAATACACAAAAACAATAAATATATAATATTAACGTCCATATTTATTGTTTTTTTTTTGTTTTGTCTTTATATAAATACAAAACTATTTTCTATCAGCCTACTAATTAAAAGACCATTTTTAAACATAATGAAATATGCTATGACACATCCTTTAGTTGCTACATATTGTTGTTCAAAACAATTTTTTTCTGTTCTTAATATTTTTTTCTCGTGTCGGTAAATTTGTAATTTGAATCAACTAATTTGCTCCATTTATTCATATTATTTAATGCTCCTTTCTACATCACATTAAATTTGGAATTAATTTAACCCAAAGCCTATATTAAAATTTAAATATTTCTAAATTTCAGTTTCTCGATATTTTAATTGTATTAGTTACCAAAAAAAAAAAAATCATCGGTATTATAAGTAAATGTTATTTACTTAATTTAATGATAAGCATTTATCAACTATCCATTTCATTTGTAATTGTTGGAGCTGATATTGTCTCTCCCTATCCATAAGCGCTTGTGGTTGAATTTTTAATTCAAACTTTTCTTTGTCCTGTTCAATAAATTCGTCTGTTACTTATCTGACTGCCCTTTGTTGAACGTGCCATTGTTTTGTTGATGTAGCTAAATCCGACCATATCATTAGCATTGCCATCAATAAAAAACGCTATGAATCTTCATCCCAGCTATATTCTTTTAATTTGATCAGCCGGAAAAATTCATTTATTAACCTATTTGAAAAGTTTTCAATTATTTTTATACTAATCATTTATAATAAATATAAATATATTTTATAGTATTGAAATACGAACTACTTTTAAATATAATAAACATGGTTAATTGTTTCAACGACTCCTACCGTAGTTAGGTAACTAACAATATGTTTTTGAATTAAAACCATTAATAAGTAATATAATTTAAAAAGAAACTTATTCATCATTATCAATGTCAACTTTTCCAATTACATCGTAAGTTATAAAATAATTTCGTTTGTAGGCAATTTTTCTTCTATCTAGTAAATTAATTCATCTATATAGAAATTTTTATCAAAAAAATATTATGAGACCACTTTGGAAACGTTAATCAAAATTAAAATTTTACTTTAAAAAGTTTAATTTTGGTTAAGGTTTTAAAAGTAATTTGAATATTCTTTCAGTTTCTACAATTATTAATCTTTTAAAATTCTCGAATAAAATTGTTATAGGTCAACTAACTTACGATATAAGTTAAAAACATTTAAAAACCGAAATCATTTCGGTTCCTAGCTCTATCTCAACCTGATTTTAGAGTCTATTATGAAAATAATTCGCAAAAATTGGAAGGTATAACAAAACTAGGTAATATTTAAATATTATATGAATTTAGTGAATATTTTAATAAGTTCATAGCTCGGAGTAAAATTATTATTCATAAGACTTTATTGTAGTATAAATAAGTAACTATTTTTAAGTTTTGCATTGTTATTTAAAACTATAGGAAGTAACACAAAATGTTCATAAGAACTTTTTAATTTTCAAATAAATTGATAGATTTTGTTTTATATACTCGATAATATTTTCCGGTTTCAATTGTTATAGTTGATTAAATTATAGTTATTCTATTGGTATGAGATGATAAATAACTGATAAATGTGTATAAAGTTTATACAAAACATTTTCCTAAGATTTATAACAAACATATAAAAACATATTTCAAAAAGCATATCGTACGTTGAGAGCAAAAACAATTGACACGGCCCCGCGTCGCTTCTTTATACACGACTCGTGCCATCTTTATCAGCCGTCGCCTTACTACGAGTGTTTGACTGATCAACATTGCGTGCCATACGCCACTGAACAAGTCAAACAAGTGCCGAACGGCCGACGATGACCCGCCGCAAACGAGACAGCAGTCTTCTTCCCGTTGTGAAAGTGACAATGTCGACGAACCGATGCGCACCCACGCACCGTCGCCATCAACGCTGATAACCTTTTGACACCCGAGGATCACGCCGGACATCGCATCGTCGACGCCAGCGAAAGTGCCGCGATATTGTTCGAAGATTATTAATAATGTGTTCATCTTTTCGTTTCGTTTTATTTCTTTTGTTAAAATAACCTGTTGTTACTTATTAATAAACGGCCCACGTGTCTCTACCATCAACACCAGTGTCGACCATATTTTTGCGACGTAAGTCGTGTCAACTGGCTCCCCGGTAACGATCTCAACCGGTCCTTAATTGGATTAAGGTATGAAAACCAGTTTCTGACTTGATTTTTATTTTTTAAATAAGACAGCTAGGTTTCCTTTACGTTCACTTTTTTCCAAATTATTTCAATCACATAGTTCACTGGTGACTGCAGTGAATTTCCACCCGGTCATACAGATACTATCCACTGCGCGAATAATAGATATCCACCTTCTGTGTATTTTGTAACACGGTACAAGTGGATTTCTGGCGATAATCAAATTTTATAATACGTTCAATTGAGTAGATCTTTTTAATAATTTTTTTTTTTATTGGTTCTTTTAGTTAAAGTAAATTATTAAAATTAATTCAGTTCTGCATATTTTAATTGTAGAATCTTTTTAACCATCAAAAGTTAATTAGAAATTATTACTATAATTTTTATTTAAGTGATCTATTACGATAAAAATGTAAATAAAAATCGAGCTTTTCTGATATATTTACTGTAAATAGTATTTATAAAATTTTCTGACTGCATATTAATCTTAACAATTTCATTTTTTTCTATTTAATAATGTCAATGTCAACTATCAGATAAAATCTATACTAGACCAAATATGCCACGTCCCCACTGTGCTAGGATTTTTTTAAATACCTTTAGTTACATACTATTCTTGAATTATTAACTATGTAGTATTTTTTAAGTTCATCCATTATGCATTGTAAAGATGTCAACTATGTTTATTTAAATAGAAACACATATTTTGAGTTCAATAAAATGTTTGAGTTTTTATTTTAGTAGTAAATGACACTTGAGTTTTCAATATAACTTTATTCGTTTACTAGATATAAAACTTTAAAGTTTCAAATTTTTGAGTTAATATACATGTATAATACATAAAATATTATGAAAAATGTAGCTAATGTTATTTTATAACGTCGCCATCACAGAAACGGAGCGTTTATTTTCAATTATGACTTTATTAATGGATATACTTTCTTTATTACCTATTGGTGTATTTTTATTATAAACTTTCTCTTTAAAGAACGAAATAAAAGAAGTTAAAAATGATTACTTTTAACATATTAAAAATCAAAAGCAATAATTTATTTTATTTATTAATTTATTTATAAGATAACACCTTCGAAGGGCAATGTAGTACAGGTAGTAATATAATAATATAAATACAATTTTAAAAAAATAAACAATATACAGTGATACATTTATAAAATTAAGGTGAACAATAATTAGATATTAAGTATAAAAATAATATAAATTAGAAGTAATGAATTATTATGAATATAACATTAAATATTTGTGTTAGAATGAGTATTATTAGTTATTACACATTTTAATTTGTTAGGACAATCATAAAAAAAATCAAATTTGGAAATATTATTACAAGATATTAACATACGGTTTAATGGGCTATATTTAATGAAATTATTTTTCCCTAGAATAGTAAAAAATAATTGTTGAGATCGGGTATTATAAGCTGGTATTTTAAAACAAATTTGTTCCAGTAGCTCTGGGCAGATAATTTTATTATTTAATAGTTTGTATATAAATGTTAAATCAATAAATAGACGTCTTGATTCTAAGGTTGGGATTTGACATTTGATTGCAACATCATTGATTGATTTACCTACCATACCTATTTTGTGAGCTATCATTCGAAAGAAGCGTCTTTGAATTTTTTTTATTTTATTTTTGTGTGGCCGGCTTGAGTTGGGTTCCAAATAATAGAGCCGAATTCAAGTGTAGATCTAACAAGAGCTGTGTATAAGGTAATTAAACAATAGGGGTCGTTAAATTCAGAGCAATTTCTCTTTATAAATCCTAAATTCCGAATAGCTTTATTATATATTATGTAAATGTGTTCAGAAAAATTTAGATCATCTGACAGTATTACATCTAAATCTCGAATATGGGAAACTTTTTGTAGTTTGTAGTCACCAATATTATAGTCAGAAGATATTCTTACTTTGTAACGAAAAAATAAAATAAATGAGCATTTAGAACTATTTATCTCTAAGCCATTTAATGAACACCATTGAAATAGACTATTCAAGTCAATTTGTAAATGATTTATGTCATCTATAGAATTAATAGTGGTATATAATTTTAAATCATCTGCAAATAATAAGAACTTACAATATTTAAATATTGGGAAAATATCGTTTATAAAAATCAAAAATAGCAAGGGAGACAAATGACCCTCTTGGAGTACTCCAGATGATATAATAAATTCATTGGAAATTTTATTATTAATTTTTACCATTTGAGTTCGATCAGTAAGATAAGAAGATAGCCATGATAAAATTGGATCACCAAAGCCAAAGTCGGATAGTTTTTTGATAAGAATTGAGTGGTCAACCGTATCAAATGCTTTTTTTATATCTGTATATATTACGTCTACTTGACCACCAGAGCCAACTGTGTTAGCTAAAAAGTTGAAAAATGTTAATAAATTTGTATCAATTGATTTATTTTTGCGAAATCCATGTTGTTCATTTATTAAAGTGTTTTTCAATATATCTGATAGTTTGGGCTCAATGAGTTTTTCAAAAAGTTTAGGTAGAACACTTAACTTAGAAATAGGTCTATAGTTATTGATAATGGATCGATCTCCGGTTTTCCAAATTGGTAATACATAACTAGATTTCCATGAATTTGGGAAAACGCCTGTTTTTAGAGATAAAGAGAATAGTTTGTGTACTGGGTAAGCTAAGGAATAACGACATAAATTTAAAAACAAAGCAGGGATAGAATCAGGGCCAGATGTTGCGTCTAGTTTTAGTTGTGATAATCCATCAAACACATCACAAATGGAAACTGTGTGGTGAACTTGGTTTCTAAGTCCAGTTTCAGCCAGTCGGAAGAGTACCAATAGGAAGAGTCAAAGTAAAAATACAGTGTAACATTCACTATGAGTACTGATCATTTTATTTGTGTTCATGTCCCTTTTTATATTTTAAGATACATGATTAATTACGAATTAATACAAGGTTAAGACAACATTTAAAGTAAACAAAACACCATTAAAATATAATCTTTAAAATCTAATTTAAAAGACTATTAAGTATTGCTACATATTTCAAGATGCCGTTCACGACACCTTTTCCCTTAAAGTGAAATAATATACAAAATATATNTTCCCTTAAAGTGAAATAATATACAAAATATATTATTTCTTACAATATGTTTTAATTATACATTTTATGTAACAATAGTTTAATAGTACAAATAAAATTTAATTTAAAATAGTATAATTATTATTCATTGTACAAATTTTCTAATAGCCTTCGTCTAAATCTAGTACGATAAATTCTACGTTCTGGTTCAGGGTTATTTACAATATGATTTGATTCTATAGCTAATGGTATTTGTTCAGATTGTACTGTATGTATATTCTTTTTACAATACTTAACATAAATATATATTATAAATATTGTTATAGCTAATCCGATTATTTTAATAAGTATATTAAATATAAAACTATTATTATTATAAAATTCATATATGTGTTTATGTGTAAGCAAATCACTAATACGTTCTTGGTAGGTTAATTGAGATTCCAGATTATTTAGGGCTGCTTGATCTAATTTTATATTTTCCATTTTTTCGAGATGCAAGGGCTTTTGAATTGTTTTGTTGTATAAATTGTTGCAATAAGTTGAATTCAGCAAACTAAATTCTAGGGGGATTGCATTGAAGTTTGACTCTAGATTAGTTTGTGTGGCTTCTAGAGTCACCGATGGTGTAATGGCTCTACAGTTTTGTTTTAAAGATAGCCTCCCGGTTTTCTTCACTACAATTTTCTCTACTTCTGTGTTTGAGTCACATGAAATTGTGACTATTGTATCTTTAATAATTACAAAATACCAATTATTTGGAAAATAAGAGCTGTATCATCTCTCTGATTGTATTTCTGAAACAAATACATCACATATGGACGGCAAGGAGTATTTATTGTTTAACAGTTCCGTTTCGCAAGTTGGAACCTTTTCTGTACCAGATATGAAGTCGCTATTCTTACACACATATATATTATTAAGTATTTTACAATTATCTAGGTTATCTAATATTATATAATGAGACACTAAATTATCAGTTAAAAGACATTTTATATTTTTAGTTAAGTGTATAAATTGGTTATTATTGTTAAAGGGTATGAATATTGGTAAAATATGATATAATATATAATTATTTATACTACTTAATGGTAATTTAATAAGAGTAATTAACTTTTTATTATTATAATATATTTTAATTTCTAATATTTTAAATATTTTANATATATAATTATTTACACTACTTAATGGTAATTTAATAAGAGTAATTAATTTTTTATTATTATAATATATTTTAATTTCTAATATTTTAAATATTTCATTAATATTTTCAATATTAATGTTAATAGGTACTTGTAAATTATTAGGTATTTTTACTAAAATATGATTGATCTCATTAAAAAGTTGGTCAGGCTTAATAATTATTGGATGTAATTGGTTTTTTTGAGCAAATATTATGGCCAAGATTAATTTACTAAGTGTATTTTCTAATGAATTTATATTATTTTCGATTAGAGACTGAGTAATAATTATATTTTCAAAATCTACGGAGTTGGTAGAAATATTTTGTAGTCCAGATATAGCAATAGAAATTTTACTTAAGTTATTATCAAATATCAATTTGTTATCATTAAACGATGTGACGGATTCATTAAAATTAGAAATAGTGCTTTTGATTATGGATACTTGATCATGTACAATTCTAAGGATGTCCTTTTCGTCATTATCAAGCTTGTTGATCATATTATCGTAACGTTTGACGTCCTCTGCGTCAGCATTACCGAATAACCATTTGATTGCGCTACCAGCTCCTTCCCATGATCTTTTAACCTTATGGTGAAGTGTCAAATGCTTAATGTCGTTGATTTGTGTTTCAATATTTTCATTCATATTTTGAAGGAGTTTATGATTTTTTTTAGATATTATGTTTTTATTGCTTAATGGCTCGATATTTTTTAACATATTACTTATTTCAAGAGCCTTATTTTCTATGAGTTCTATATTTATATAAGACGTGAATGTCCAAAAGTTTTTGTAAACCTTAGCTTTACCTAATTTTTCGTAAACTATTCCCGGACTATTACTTAGATCTATTATATTATAATTATTGTTTTTTTTCTACATTCTGAGTTATAGTACCCTCCAGTGCCCTAAAAAAAATAATATTATTTTTAAATTAATTATATGAAGATGATAATATATGATCTTGTAAAGTTAATGTTGGTTTTGATTTATTTAATTTTATGGTGCTAATTTCTTTAGAAAAATATTTTTTTAACCTATCTGTGTGAACTTTTACGTTTTTATTACCTATTTTTATAGTTGCGTTTACATTATTATTTAATTCAACAATTTTATAAGGACCTTTAAATTTTGGACTAAGTTTACTTATTGGTGATTCATTTTTTAATAAAACTAAATCATTAACGTTAAGAATTTCTTTTTCCACTTTAATTTTTGAATCATAATGTTTTTTGTAACTTTCTTTGTTTTGAACTTGATTTTGTCGAGCGATTTGATGTGAAGTATTTAATTTTAATTTTAAGTCGTCCAAAAAATCATCATAAGAATATTTAAATTCAGGGGAGTCTTTAATAGAAGTCGGTATTCTAATAGTTCTACCGAACATAAGTGTCGCAGGTGGGTAATTAGTAGCGTTATGTACCATTGTATTATACGAAAACATTGCTGTGTCTAGAAATTCATCCCAATTAAAATTATTATCTACAAAATTTCTTAAATAGTTTCCTAAAACTTGGTGACTACGCTCTAGAGAACCAGTCGATTGTGGTCTATAGGCGGTAGTGTTTATTTTTTTTATTTTAAAAATTTTACACATATTCTTAATAATGTTGGATAAAAAATCAGCGCCTTGGTCAGAAAGAATGTATTGAGGAATGCCGAAAGTACAGATAAATTTATAAGCTAAAACTTTTGCTATCGATTCAGCAGAGTGTTCTTGTAAGGGGTAAGCGAAAAGAAATTTACTTAAATCGTCCTGAATAGTTAAAATGTATTTATTCCCATTTTCAGTCATATTAAGGGGACCAACAATATCAACAGAAATTTTTTCTAGAACTTCAGTTGATGTTGTCGTAATACACATAGGATTTTTATTTTTTTTGAAAGTTGCTTTATTTTTTTG